CGTCTATATGCTTATACAGATTCTAGAATCTCTCAGTCTTGAGATTCTACGTTCATCATCATCTGTTAGTGGAACATTAAACCACTTTGAGAATTACAGGTGTTGTGATAGTCTACAGAATCTGACATGGATGTCTTTTCTGTAAGCATATAGACTTAGGGGTCTATATGCACGACTTAGTCGCAAGGTATGATTGATGGATCTACCTATACACCTTGCATTTAAGCCACTAGATGGCTATGAAGGCTAGATCGTCCTTCTGCCCCCTCAGGGCTTTGACTTATAACTTTTTTGTTTGTACAGATAAACAGATGGAATTCAATGTCTAAGTATAGAACATGAATATGCATTTTTTGACGTATTCAATTGTTTCATGTCACTTTCTGACATTCATAAAATGTCCAATCTAGAGAGTCATTGGGAGTTGTGTTATTCAATGTTCATGTGTGGAATATCAATTGTGTGGTATCAAATTATTCGTAACAAAATACCCTTATCATATATGGTAATGAGCCACCATTGTTAGATCAGAAGAATTTGTGGAAGAAATGGAAAGTGAAACTTCACCGAAACTATTTGTCCCTGGTAACTTGATCCAAAATCAACCGTTTCAACTCGTCCATGGCAACATTCTCCCCACCGTGCAAAATCTGAGAATTTTCACCTTCCATCTTAATCTTGCAAATCTTCGAAGTCGGTCGACGATACGAGCCTTTGAATGTCTTGACCTCTACCACTCTGACAATCCCATCCGGCTCGAAGGACCATGTGAAAATCTAATCTGTAATATTTTCAATTATCTTCGATAGCAGAGAGACCCAAGTACTTTTTCCTTGATGGCCCCGTACCAACGCTAGTCATTTTGCAGCAACATCTAGTTATTGGAACAATAGTTATTGCTTCTTTTTGTAGAGAGGAAGAGATTTCCGAAATCGGTTGTGGAATGTGGATTCCCTCTTTCGAATGTTTCACACTGTGTTATGTATCGTGTATGTATCTGTAACGTTAATGAATTCCGATGATTAGATGACTAATTATTATAGTATGATGCCTATTATACCTAATATCTGAGTATCTGATTGCTTTACGTTCAAACGATACTGTAGGATCAGTTTGCTGATAAAAATGATGAACCCCATCGGATTGACATAACGAGCCTAATTTATATACGGCCACATCAAAGGTGGCGAATAGTATGGTCAGTTGTTACGTCGGAAGCTATTAATCTAGATAATCTGCGTAATATCAGGAGAATAACATTTGATCATGATGGAACATGAACCATTATCACAGGGAAATAATTCAATAATAATATAGCCAAGGGCTCGAATTATTCATATAATGCATATGTGAGTTGAGTAATCGTTCAGATGATTAGAATACAGAATTATGAAGTTCAAAATTGGAATGATATAGGTACTGGAGATAACATAAATAGGATGTCACAGTTTCAAAAACTCCTTTTTATCTTCCATTTTCCATTCTACTTCCCGGTTACTTAAATTACTAAAGAACCACTAAGTTCGCAAATTTTCAGAATGAAATCACAGAATTAGACTGACAGATATTCGATTACTCCAAAAGAAGTTGAATATCGATGATGCCTGCAAAAATATGCTTGAAACGCAGGTGTAATTCCTCAGAATTCTGAATCTTGAACCAGCCTGTATCTGTTCCGATTGAAAATATCAGTGAAAATTTGAGTTTGGGACAGAACATTTTCGACGCGTCTTGCGCACATTAAATCGCTGTAAAAAACCATTTTCGATGTACTTTTCTGAAGCATTTTGTCAAAATGAACTTTTGCATTAGGGTTCCATTTCCCTTGAATGAAAAAATGCATTAAAAATAGATTGAACATAAAAATATTTTCTTGATATGAAATTAACTTCTTAAACGGTTTCTGAGTAGTGCTTACTACACACAGACATATAATTGGAAATAGGTTTCCCAATTTTTGAAATGTTCTCCACAATGCATAATTTTGCAACTGCAGAGAAGCTGTGAATTGATGAATTCGTACTTTTATATATTGATTACACTGAGGCACCGAACAACACATCTTGCATCTGATGGTCATTATTACAAACTAAATAAGTCTTCTAACACAATAAACTTCACCAAATTCCTTTCTGTTCGTTAGCAGCGTGATGTAAGCGTGACACGCTGCAAACGCGAATGCCAATTGCGAACAAGAAGAACAAAATCGAAAACAAATCAGAATTCATCATATTGTGACGTAAGCATGAGACGTTGTGATGGGGCAAACAAAGAAAGGGCACAAAAGAACAAAAACAATACTTTCAATATCCTTCTAATACCTCTTTGGGAAGTGCATATTACGCCTCAAAAAAACATCCTCATGCCTACATTTCTAAAACATCCCAAAACATCCCAGGGATACCTCTCAGTAGGCAAACAAAGAAATGCCACTGAAGAACAAAAACAATACTTCAATATCCTTCAAAGACCTCTTTGGTCAGTGCATATTACGTCTCAAAATAAAATCTTCATGCCGGGAAGCGTTCTTTCGTTCTCAATTACGGGATGATTTGAACATCGTCGCTAACACTATATTTTATATTCGCTATTGGTACTACTTCATTGTAGCATTCGCTTACACATAGATCATTCTGCATGTATATCTACAATGTATGCTCTGCAATAATGTCGAGCTCGGTAAATAAAAGTCGTGAATATGTGAGGGCGCAGCTATTGCAATAATCTCGCAATAAACCCACATAGACTAGCGGTTCTTTGACCTCAGGAGAGGAATAAATGCCGCATAAGGCATAAGTAAATAATGCTTAAAGGGGTAGAAACTAGAGAGATTCAACGTATATAAACCAAGAGACGAAAGTCCATGAATATAAATTAAGGGCCAGGAGACATGCGGCCTGCTTACGGAATACAGTCCAGAACCGGGCAACTAGAAATTTCTATAGTGGATCATCAGTTTAGTTACCTGTTCACATAAACATAATAGTTCTGAACTACATCGGATAAAGAAAGTTATGTCATAGTAAGTAAGGTACTCATTACTTTTTGCTATCACTGCTTCACTGCACAGTAATCGATTGAAAAATTTTGCTGCTGAAGAAGCGAATCTCACAACCGATTGAATGTTGGATAAGGAGGAGAAAAGAACCATAGGAGTACAAAACAAATCTATATGCATCCCTTCCATCAGGTTACGATAGTGATAATTTCAAATTCTTCACTTTTGAGATGAGTTGAGGATGTGGTGAAACAAACCTCATTTGGAATGATCAGTTGCTGAAATGGCAAAAAAAAACTTCGAAAGAAATTAACTGGAACCAAATATATTGAAAGCCTGCAGAGGGTCAGAAATTCACACCATCGCATAAATTTCAAGTTCGACAGTAAATCTGTCATCATCAAAGCACTGTGTAATCAGCTCTGAGATAGACTATAGGAAATTGAATGAGCACACATATATTGACGGAACGAGATAGAAAAGAAACGTATAGGAACGGGGAGTGAAACACCATTCTTGATATCACACAATAATAGAGAATCTGAAGAGATAACTATGCTTTTTTTCCTTGGATGCTGGTCCTGTCACCTTCTACACCTCAGCCTCCTGGGCTTTTAGTGCATTCCGGTTTATTTTACAGCACCCGAAATTCATCCAGGCGAAGACAATATTGTTCGAGTTGTGACGTTGAGGACTCAAGACGGCATCCTGAAGCGTCCAATCAACAAGATATGTGTTTTACCTTTAAATTGTAATGAAAATTTTAAAGGCTGAGCCTTTCAAGGGCGGCGGAATGTTTAGTACTTTCACCTTATATAATTAGTAACTGTATTGCCCTATATAGAAAATAACATTTGAGTTGTTAACATGACGACGTGTTGTTGAAACAAAATAATCAATCAATAAAGTTTAGGGGAAATTGTAATACATCGCAATTTCTCTTATATTCATTGTTTCATCAGTTTATTATCAAACAATCATAATTATATACAGTCCACTTATCATCAAAGCATCGAACATATTGATTTATTTAACATTTCATTCGACTTTACTGAGCATTTTGGCTTTTTCGTAGTTGGAATACTATATCATTTTATGGGGACATTCGTGGCTGTCGAAATGAATTGCTTCACCTGTATTACTAGTAACAGAAACGATCAGTGGACATTCGTTACATTGCTGAGTCATCAAACATTCCCATGTTCGGCAAAGGCCCTCAACTTCTTGTCCGTCCATCCCTGTTCGTTGAGAATGGTCTTCTTTTGGGACACGTAGGAATTAATCTGGGCCAATGGAGTTTATTCGGAGACGACTGCCGAGACCCGGGCTCTATCGATATTATTAAACTTTAAGGAATTTTCGGAAGGATGGAATTTATTCGTGTTTGCAAACTGGAGGCACGAGAACGAATTCTAGACGATAAAAGTTCCCATCTCTTATATACGAGCTTGAAAGAGGTGGTCCTATACTGGAAGAAGACGTTTGCCGAAATGTTGAGAATATTGTGGGAGGAAGGTGCATGATTATTCAATTCCTACGTATACTGTTTGACTATAGACAATCATTGATGAGCATGTTTGATTACGTGACATGAAACTAATGTTTCATGCTCAAATTTCGTCTTTCATGGAGATAATTTTCTGAATATAGTGTTACAATGCCAGCTGTTTTCCATCAATGTCCCTGAAGTTTTAAATAATTTAAAAATTATTTTGGAACTATACTCACCTACAGGGAATATTGGTTCCAAATTGATTTTGGGAACTTGCACGAGTATATTTTATGGGTAGGTTTATATTGCGTGATTATTTAGTTGACATATTTCATTATATAGGGTATAAACGATTACTTATTCGACTATATACAGGGATTTCGATGACTATGAACGTCAAGCGACTACCCTCAATTCGATACTGATTATAGTTGTTATGATGTCAACTGATTCTTGAAGTGGTATATCATAATTCAGTACTTTGTATAAGAAACTCTGTTATATTTTCAGGTTTGATGTTCTGGTGAATGGTGGAGGAGCAGTAACGTTGCAGTTCCAAAGATCTCCGTTCAAACCAATGACAATAACAGTATTCGTGCCATGGAACCAGATCATAGTACTACCACCTATTCATATGCAACTGAGTGATGACGCTGATGTGGGACACACCCCAAAAAGGTACATTCAATACTTGGACAATATATGTACTATATCCTAATGATTTTCGTGTAGTTTTTGGTTATCAAGCTCGTTTCTTGATGGCTAGGGGTCAGCATATTAAGTACGACTGATGAAGAGTATAGTGAACCGAAACAGAACTTTCTTGCTCTTGCTGTCGATCCTAGATATTTAAGTTCGACGCATTGACGTCGCTGCATAAAAGTTGGAATTTCCGAACTGCTACTTTTTCAAGTTTAATAAGTACGTAGATCAAGAGTGAGGGCAAGAACAAAGTTTGATTGAGTCTGGTGTATTCTGATACCAAAGATGGGATGAGGGCTATCCAAGGTAAGACATGATTATTTACCCACAAGTGAGTCATTCGATGAGGCCAAGTGAAGCAACCAATTGTAGTTTTCAAAATAAACACCTATAGCCAATAATGTCGTTGTATAACTCCAAGCAAAAAGTACACTACCCACAAGTGAGTCATTCGATGAGGCCAAGTGAAGCAAGTTTCTTGTACTTATCGTACTGAATGCCTAGCCAATATTTTCGTTGTATAACTGCAAGTTGAAAGAACATTGAGGCCAATAAAACAAATATTCTGTCTCTAATGAAGAGTTTAATATAAGTAGGTTACATGTGATTCTGAAATCACATTAATACCAACAAGTGATCAGATTCAGAAATATCATTTTCCTTGTGGCTAGTGAAGCAAGTACTTGTCCCTTTTCGAAAAATATATAGGGTGTTCCATTGAAAAGAACGAAGTTGATACCCATTTTTTATATCAGCGATATTCATTTGTTTACTGTACAGTGTGTCCAGTATTCGATGCTTTTGCATGATATCTCAGTTATCTTTGGAGATAGAACCTTGCGGTTTTCGCGGTCCTGTGTCACTTTTCTGTGAAACTCAAGATGGCCCAATCAGATTTTGCAGGACTGTTTCCGTTTATGAGATACAGGGCGATTTTGAAAATTTATACTTTTTGGACCCCCTCTATATCCACGAAGTTTATCAGCGAAAATGTCATATTAAAATCTCAACCCATAAAGAATTTCATGCAGAATCCAGTAGCGCACAAAATTTTTTTTTCGGGGTATGGTTTTGAAGATACGACTCAAACATATGATTTTTTAAACTGAACACCCTGTATTTTATAAGCTCATTAAATTCCTTAATTTTTTCCCTTCGAAATGATATATGATGTATTGATATAACATTTTCAAAAATGTTCAAAAATCACTAAAACATTGAATTTTAATAGTGGGCTATGGGTTTTTCGAGGGATTTTCATATAAAGAAATTCACAATTGAAGGAATATTTCCTTTGATTGTTCCATGAAGGGGGAAATAACAATTTCAACACTAATTAACTTGCAAAACACAAGACTTAGATACCTGATATCCACAAATATATAGTAATAAGAAGTTTATAATGTAGAATAAGCACCTGATTGAATATTTACTAAAACAATTGAATTTCGATATTATTCAGTGATTTATTCATTGAATTGTTCAAATTGATGTCCATTTTCCATCACAAACTTCTTCAATACATATTAATCATTGAAAGATGTCTTTGTAATTCCTGGAAAACTGCCTCTGTTGTTGCACAAATTTCTTCATGTATGTTGGGCCACTATCACTGTATTAAGAAGTATTAAGAAAGTTTGTCAACTGTATGTTAGGGAAAATGGATATCAATTTGAACATGTCAATGAATAAGTTACTGAATAATTCCGGAATTCAATTGTTTTAGTAAATATTTAATCAGGTGCTTATTCTACATTATGAACTTTTTATTACTATTTAATTGTTACTTATCAGGTACCCAAGTTTAGTGTTTTGTTAATTAATAAGTTTTGATATTGGTTTTGACCACTCCATGGAAAAATTTAAAGAAATATGTCTCCAATTGGAACGTTTTTTATAAGAAAAATCCATAACCAACTATCAAAATTCAATATTTTAGTGATTTTGAGCAATTTTGAAAATTTTATATTCATTCGTTATATATCATTTCGAAGACGAAAAAATAAGGAATTTAATGAGCTTATGAAATACAGGGTGTTCCATTTGAAAAATCATAAGTTTGAGTCGTATCTCCAAAACCATACCCCGAAAAAAAAATTTGAGTGCGCTACTGGATTATGCGTGAAATTCTCTATGCGAAAAGATTTTGATTTGACATTTTTGTTGAGAAACTTCGTGGATATAGAGGGGGTCCAAAAAGTATAAATTTTCAAAATCGCCCTGTATCTCATAAAGGGAAACAGTCTTGCAAAATCTGATTAGGCCATCTTGAGTTTCACAAAAAAGTGGCACAGGACCGCGAAAACCGCAAGGTTCTATCTCCAAAGATAACTGAGATATCAGGCAAAAGTATCGAAAACTGGACACACTGTACACTCTTGATGTGAATTGTACTATTTTCTTCCCTATTTTCTTCCAGTTTCCTGGCGAAGAACCCTGCCCTGAGCTTCCCCGGCGTCTCCCGCAGCCTCCTCCTTCCGGGCGGCACGCTGCCGCCCACCTGCACCGCCCACGACCCCGACCTGCTCGCCCCTCTCGTGGCGGGCACGTGGCTGCCCGAGGCGGTGGGCGGCCTGAAAGGCGCCAGCGCCATCTTGGCCGAGACGCAGATCGTGCAAGAGGCCATCCGGATCCCCGGGTCGGAGCTCAATATCTTGTACCAGAGCTCGCAGGCTACCGGGTATCTCAGTACTATTCATATGCGGTTGACAGGGGCTGTTACGCCGGCTAGTTTGACACATGTCTACGTAAGGTGAGTTTGACCGCTGCTTATTTATTTATTTATTCATTTAATTTTCCAGTAGACAATTGCAAGTATGATATGATAGTAGGTAATAATTAAAATCAAAAAGAAAAACAGTATGTATAAAACGTAAGATTTGAATTAAAATACTTGAGAAAAATATTCATCGACAGAATAATACGAATGTTCCTCTAAAAACACTCTAAGGGATCTTTTGAAACAATTTAAGGTCTTACATAGTTTGATCTCATTAGGTAGAGCGTTAAAAATTTTCGCTGCCATGATATTGGGCGAATTTTTCGTTACATTCATCCTACTGAGAGGGATATAAAAATCATATTTTTGTCTAGTATTTACTCCGTGGCGGGAAATGTTCGTGTAAAAGTTTTCTTCATTGTGAAATACATATAGACACGATTCTAGAATTAGTAATGACGGTAGTGTCAGAATTTTCAGGTCCCTAAAAATGTCACGACATGTTGTTCTCTTGGACACACCTACTGAAGAACGAACAACGCGTTTTTGCGCAATAAAAATATCTTGTGCGGAACTGGATAGACCCCAAAAGCAAATGCCGTAACGAAGTCGGCTGTCAATCTGACAATAATATAAATTCAATAACTGTACCCTGTTGAGAACATTTTTCAGATTTCTGAATTGATATGAAAATGAGAGATTTCAATGTTTCAGAGTTTTTATGCCAATCAAGACATTCGTCGATATATAGCCCCAGAAATTTCACATCACTTGTGTCTGTAGAAATTGGGTCTGAAGATTCATTGACTTGTAAAATGATCTTATCACAATTTTTTTGGCGATTGTGAAATCTAATTGCATTCGTTTCCTTGTCATTGAGAAATAGTCCATTTGCTCTGGTCCAGTCGTTGACCAATCGCAAAGCTTGATTACATTTGGTAGCAAGTTCAAGATTGCATTTGTCGGATATTATCATTGATGTGTCATCTGCATATATAGTGATCGATCCTTGTATTGGCAATTTATCCAGGTCATTGATATACATTATAAAAAGTATTGGCCCCAATACCGAGCCTTGTGGCACACCAATGTTAATATCCGAGCGGTACGATGCCGTGTTATTCAGTACTACATACTGTTGTCTTAGTGACAGGTAACTTGATATCCATTGATGTGAATTTCCTCTTATACCATACCTGTATAATTTTGTAAGTAATATATGATGATTGACGCAGTCGAAAGCCCTGCTGAGATCGCAAAATATCCCAACAGCACATTCGCCTGCCTCAATGTTTTCCACAAGTTTTTCATAATAGGAATGTACTGCTGTCATTGTAGATTTTTTGCTAAGAAAGCCATGCTGATTTCTCGAAAATATATTATGTCGATAACAGTGAACCATGAGTCTATACAGGTAGGCATACTCAAATATTTTGGAAAAGTTTGATGGCACTGTAATGGGTCGGTAATTGGAAAGAAGTTGAGAATTACCTTTCTTGAAGATGGGGGTTATCTTTCCAGTTTTCAATACATCTGGAAACTTTCCTTGTATAAATGATAAATTTACAAGATGAGTGAACGGAATGGCCATGATATGAAGTGTTTTTTTCAAGATAAACATAGGAACTTCATCGAAACCTGATGAGTATTTATTTTTGAGTTTTTTTCTCAACATGTCATGCATTTCTTGTTCTGTGAAAGGGTTGAGAAAGAGTGAATTACTGGGAGATATTGTATTCCGCATACAATAATCATATGAATGATTACTGGTTGAGATTTTGTCTACTGTTTCATATGGTATAGATGTGAAATATCGATTAAAAAGATTGGTAACATCAGTTATTTCCTCCAATATGGTGTTGTTGTGAGAAATAGAAATATCACTTCATTCTACAGGGGCCCAATTTTCGAAACCGTTGGAATTCTTTCCCATGGGAAAAACTCGATATTTACAATGGAAATTTGAGATGATATATTCTTCAACTATTGTACAGGGTGATCAGTTAAGGGTAGTGAGCGGTCATATCTCATAATATATTGGTCGTATAGATTTGAGAAAAAAAAAATCACGATGAAAATCGCCAAGAGAAATTGCTGGAAATTATTTTTGAGATTGTAAAACGTCCGGTAGAGGTCGTAACAACCATCACCAAGTAGAAAAATGGGATTTTTATAAAATATTGTCTTATGAAAGTCATCGATATCATTTCCATATTAACTGACCATTTTCCTACATTTTTTGTTAAAAACGTTATGTTCTATCTATCAAAATGAAGCGGTGGGGAAATTTCAATTGTTTTTTTAAACAAACCAAGATCTCCCGCTTACTTCGACCAATTTCAGAAAACTTAGGTTCATATGAAAGAGAATAATTTGTCCTACAAAACGCTTATTTGGTTTTGAATTTTTGATTTTTGCTGACGCCGCTAGATGGCGTTAACTGAAATGTTAACAAATTCTTGAGTTTTAAAAAAAAAAGAAAACAAAAGTAATGGTATATTAATTTTTAATATGTTTTAGAAGAGGATAAATGTCTCTATAATTTGATGAAAATAATTTATCATCTACCTTCTTTTGGACAGTTGATATTGACCAAATTTTATTACATGAAGAAATGGCACGCCACTCTTTTCCATCAAAATGAAAATCAGTTTTGTAATCTCTCATTTGTTGCTAACAAAAAGAACCTCTTGACTTTTTTTCGTTAGACGAACGGTTTTGAATTGAAAAAATAACATATATTAAGATATCAATATTTGACATTTGACTTTCTATACATCTATATTCTACCAATGAATAGTATATTATTCAACAAGCATGTACAGGGTGTATCTAAATAACATCGAAAAATTTCAAGGAGAGATTCCTTGTGATATTTGAGGAAATAAAGTTCGTATAAATGTGTGTTCCAACTTGCTTCGTTTTAGAGATACAGGGTATCAATATTTTTATTAGATTGAACTATTGAATTAACAACTTCTTCATCCTCTGTGTGATTTTATTATCTATAGCTTATTTTTTGAGGAAACAATAAAACATTCGATTTGTCTCCAAATTCTACTGTGGGTGTTTTCAAAAGTTCTATTGAGATTACTTAATAACCCCAATCACATTCATTTTGAAATTTTAGGGCTTCCTCAGTCTCCAACCATACTGAATTTGGCACCATAAAAGCTTATACATGAAGGTTATAAATAAAAATAATTGATACTTCAACATTTCCCTAATAACACAATAACATCTGTAAGACGTCGTAGAAACATCCATATGGGATGATAGGAACATCTCTATTTTCCTTGGGACATTCTTGGGATGTTGCTGGCAACACCCGTGTCAGCAATTGCGATGTCTTATATAAACATCCCATCAGAATGTTTGTGGGATGATACGGGATGTACCAGAGACATTCAGGGTACTTGATATGGAACATCTTAAAAAACTTTTATATAGCATGTTTTTTGTTTGATGACAGTAATGGATGACACGATATGAATTATTTATAATCTGAAATCCTGAAAATGGCCGACCTACTTCCAGATATCAAGTAACAATTCGAATCCGAAAATATAAGGTCGGTGGGGTCCAATAACTAATGGAAGATGACAACAGTTGTTTGAGGCTTATATTTGTTGGTGCTGGGCCGACGGCTGTTAGTCACTCTAAGCAACGTAGTTGTACCGCCATCTATCGGCTGGTATAACGAATAAATTCAGCAATAAATATGCTGAAGATATATATTTTGATATTGTCGTTTATTACATGGTTCATGAAGTTAAGCAGGTACTTTGGTAATCTTATTGAGGAATATTTAGTATAATTATTTTAATTTGTTTTCGATGAAATGCCGGCTTTGGTATAAGTATAAGTATATATGTACGAATACAGTTTTGATTTCCATTTTTTATCAACTTTTCAATGTCTCAAATGTCACAATTGTTTGAACTGTTCAATCATGTCAATCATCATTAGCAGATATGGGACCATGATATTGTTTATAAAAAAAATCAAATGGGATGTTTCTAGAACATCCAATGAAAACATCTGATGGATGTCCCATGAGAAACATCTCTGGGATATCGTACCTAAGTCTGAAACATTGGGACATTTGTAGGACCTTAGCGGGATGTACCAGCAAGATTCCGTGTTGTTAGGGTTCCTGTTTCTCAAAAACGGAGCAAGTAGGATACATGTTTATATGAACTTTATTTGCTAGAATATCACAAGGAATCACTCCTTAATTTTTTCGGTGTTATTATTTAGATACACCCTATAAGCTATTGAACTGACCGAAACTGCAGCACTAAGAGATTGAAGATATCGGTGTATTCCTCATTTTGAAGTTACAATAAGGATCAATCCAACCTTTTTTCTTTCAGAGTTGAAGTCGAAGGCTCTCTTCACACGAAAACCTACGAAGCCGACCCCAACCTGACCCACGTGTTCGCGTGGAACAAACGCAACATCTACAAGCAAAAAGTGTACGGGATAGTGCAGGCAAAAGTATCGGTAGGGTACCAGCACGAAGGATGCGAGGAACCCGTTTGGGTGTCCCAAACTACGGGCATCAAAGGGTTCGATGTCGATATCTCGGACATAGGCGGATGGGGACTAGATATACACCATCATTACAACTTCCATGAAGGTGAGTCCTTTTGAATACCGTATTATAACCATAGGGGCCTAAGGCCCCCCATCTCCAAGGGGCCCCGAAGGGCCAACAATTATGTAACATTTTATATTGTTGTCGAGCACAGTACCTACATAATAGCGTTATGACGTTATCGTCAATTTTTTGTAATTTAATGTATTGTTTATTTGATAGCCGTGGCACTTGATATCTCCAAAGCATTCGGTCAAGTTTGGCACCACGGACTTCTCGCCAAGCTTCCATCTTATGGATTGCCGCCCCAGCTATGTTATCTGCTAGCTAGTTTCCTCTCAAACAGGTCTCTCCATGTAGTGGTCGACGGGGTTTCATCTGACTCTCTTACCATAAATGCTGGTGTTCCGCAAGGATAAATTCCAGCACCAACACTATTTCTACTCCATATCAACGATTTGTTGAAAGCAACTTCATGTCCACCCTCCATACCGCCTTCTCCAATACCAGCCAGGCAAATCAGAAACGAACGAGGGAGAAATGTTGACAACATAAATATGGACTTGGCGACAATTCTCGAATGGGGATCCAATAACTTGGTAGATTTAAATGCAAACAAAACACAAGCATGCCTTTTCTCTAGAAAAGCTGATCTCACTGTGCCAAACATAAGCATTTCAGAACTAACCATACCTTTGAAGACATCTATCTCGATGCTCATTGGTATTACTATCAGCAATAACCTTTCTTGGGAAAAGCACGTGAGATCAATTGCGAAAAGTGCATCTCAAAAACTTGGTTTTCTGTTTCGGGCCAGGAGCTGATTCACTTCCAGTCAGCTGCTTATGATCTATAAGGCACAGATCCGACCTGTCCTGGAATACTGTTTCCATATTTGGAGTGCAGCACCCAAACATACCCTGAAACTGTTGGATTTTCTCCAAAAAAGGGCAATTCGTCTCGTGGGTGATGCCTCGCTCACAAACTCACTCACTGCTCTGGAACACCGTAGAAAAGTTGGCGATCTGGCTCTATATATCAACAATTGTACTTCCCTTGACAGTCCCCGCGAGATTAACCCGTCGAGTTGAGGCTTCGCATCCCTTCGTGGTCACTTTGGAGACCTGCAGAACATCTCTTTCCAAAGACTTGTTCATCCAATGAACAGCGAGGCTCTGGAACATATTGCCAAGGGATGAGTTCCCCGAGGCATATAACCTCCAGAAATTCAAGAAGAACGCCAATTCCTACCTTATTTCCCTAAGTTCTCGCGATGTTCTCTGAACATTAGAGGATATCCCTGATTTCACAATAGAAAAATGTCGATAAAATTTAAGTATAATTCGCTATCTTCACTTTTCTAAAGGGACCTAGATTCTTGTGTGTCCAAAGACTCAGCATAGTTCAGTACGGCCTTATTGATCATTTTGAATACTTCAAATGTATAGCGAATTTCATTCGTCAACCTGGTGGAAGTAATCTCCTTTATTTTCTTGAAACCTCCATTTTTTCATCACCATTTGATGATGATTGGATTGCCACTAACAATTTGGTTTTCAAACTATTCATATTCAATGTTTCCGCCATTCATGCAAACAAACCCAAACACTGCATTCTTGAAACGCGCCAGCCAACATTTTTTTTTTGGTACTCACGTATTTTTTACTGAAAAACACGAATTTGATTTTGGGTGTATGATAAATTGACATTCTATCACGAATCTGCGATTAGAGGTCTATAAAAATCACAAGTTTCCATCGTTCAAGTTTGAACCCCCTATATTCTCAGGTAGATTATGGACATATAAAAATCGATATATATATTTATATGAAGCAATACATACATTGAGAATTCGCATTCTCTATGTGACGAGAATATCTACTCTTTTTCAGTTCATTCAATAGAAAACAACTACTTTCCTGGCTATATGCCACGACGAACATTGAATTATATCTATTGAACACACACGATAAGAGTTTGAAAATAAAGTATAAAAACTTCTAGTTGTTTTCTGTTGAATATTCAGAATGATGTGTGCATATACATATTTTTGTCTGAAGGAGAATGCAAATTCTCAATTTCAGAAGTTTTTATATTTCATTTTCAAACTCTTATCGTGTGTGTTCTATTGAATAAACTGAAAAAGAGTATATATTTTCATCACATCACATCAATGTATTGCTTCATATAAATATATATCTACTTTTGTATGTCCATAATTTATCTAAGAATATTTCTTTTCAACGAATTTGATAATGAAAATATGAACAGATTATTTTAATATATTTCACATAAAGTTACAAATTTCACCTTCTCTTCCGCCTGTCTTCTGGATCGCATTTAGGACCATTTGCCCTTCTTTTTCCATCATTGGACAATTTATATATATATATCACATTGCTTGTTCAATAAATAGGAAAAACTCGCTATAAAAATCATATTTCCAGTTGAATTTTCTATCTTAAAATGTGTAATTGAAGTACACAAGGGGGAAAAGAAGGCAAAATTTCGAACTTTTCCTGAAATATCTCGATAAATAGTGGTTTTTTCACATTTTCATTATCAAATTCGTGTTTTTCAGATAAAAATACGTAAGTAGCAAACAAATTCTTCGAAAAAAAAACCATCGCATGTTAAGTGCAAAATTACCTGATTTCGGAATGAAAAATCAGCAGATTCAGTACTGTCAGTTGAATTCGGAATAAAGCCTGAGTTCAATGTTTGTAGCAGAGCACATTCTATGACATAATAGAGAGTTGAAGTGTTGTCATGAACGTTAACGTAAACGTAGAAATTGACAGCTACCCATGCGCATTTTCCAATTCTTTACGTTTGCGTTGTTAGTGGGTGTACGTTATCTCACGTACCTTCACGTATACCTTAAATATCAACTTACGTTAACCAAACTATACTCGAAATATGCCGATGAGTCAAAATTATCAAATTTGGGATCCCCAACGAGTTCTGCATCAAAGAGTCCTCTCATTTTGACAGGAATAAATGGTCGAATCTAAACACACAACCAAAAATGACCAATACAAACCGAAATCAAAATGTATTATTACGTTATGATGACATTGACGACTTCAATTCAATTTAACGACAATACGTAAACGTTATTATTCGTACCTTAACGTCTACGTGGAGGTCTACGTACAGTGATTACTTCAACTCTCTATTATGTCACCGACTTTCAGGCATCCTCCAGAAGGGCGACGGCTCCACCCTTCACTTCAAGCGCTACCCGCGCATGGTGCGCGTAGTGATGGGCACTGGACTGCAGAGGGCGCTGAACTGCCCCGGCCAATGCGGCGGCCCGGCCAAAGACGCCAAGTTACTAACACCTGGGTCTTTGGCCGCCGGGCCCGACGGCAGCATCTACGTGGGCGATTTCAACTTGGTGCGCAGGATCACGCCGGAGGGGAATGTTTATACGGTGCTGCAGTTGAGGTAGGTTAGAGAATGTTATAGTTCCTCATATTTCATTAATTTATCTATACTAAGTGTCTGTTTAGTCAACTTTGTCTTGGTCTCAATGGGAAAGACCACTGAGGAGAGAAATCCGTGCAAACCTCTTTAAATCGACGAATCATGATTCACGTTTGATCTACAATCAATATTATGAGTTGATGTTGAAGGGAATCAAATCTATATGATTTTGAAATCAGCATATTTCATTCGTTATTTCGGAAAGCCGAATATAATGGTGGAGCCGTGACGTATTAGTCCCGCACTGTAGCTATCTCTCTCTGATACCTCGTCATTCTGCAGTGTTGCAGTGTGATTGGTGAGTTAAAGGACAATAGGCGTGTTGGGACTGAGACGTCGCACCAGTCACACCAATGAATTAACAAAATTTCAAATGGCGCAGGAATTGTGTGTTCTGAAATGGACATATTCTAATTTATTTTTTTGATCGTCTTAGCATGAATAAAAAAATTCAAAATTAATTCACTGGTAGTTTTTCAGTATAGAGTTCACGATAATGTCGTTTCAAAAAATCAGTGGTCTCCCCCATTCTCAGTCTCAGTTCTAGTCTCAGTCTTTATCTTTAAGAATGAGAACATAACTATTTATTCAACTCATGATATTAGGACTTATAACTTCGACAAATGACACAAATAGCATTTTTTGTCCCATATATGTGGGAATCTTTCTACCAATTCTACCAAATTTCAAATTACTTTCATCTGAAGGAATTTTTTCATTACTTTTATTATTTTTGTATCAATTATTCAAGCTTGAACTTTAAGTCTGAACATATAACCTATATGATTTCTGAACGCAGATCACAAAATATGAGAATGAAAAAAGTTGTCGTTTGTCAATAATGCCATGCGCTCACTGAGCATGTGCACTGACGTCATATGGTCTTGGTCTTAAGCATAAAAGATGAAAATTGGAAACTCTCAAGGTCACGTTTTTAGGACTGAGACTTGAGATTGTGACAAATACTGTTGTATAAATGCTCTTATGCGAATGTGTAGAATCAACTTGGTCTGAGGACTAAAATTAGAACAAGGACTGAGACTGAGACGAAGACAGAGTTGAAAGAGGAAAGATTCGATTGTTTGTTTGTATCTATAGAATAGGCTCCGAAACTAGTGGATCGATTTGGCTGAAAATTGAAGGGGAGGTTGCTCAAAACCAGGAGAAGGTTATAGGATACTCTTTATCCTGGTACCATAAGGAAATTCAAGATGGCGGATCAATATATCGGACGAGTTTTGTAATTATGTTCCGATTCTATTCAAAATTTTCATCTGGGGTTTAGGAGTCGGATATTATGATTTTTTCGTCAAAATTGGGAAGTTCAAGTGAACTGAAAAGAATTTGAAATAAATGGTAGTTTGAAAAACTGAAGAAACACGCTTTTATAGATAGCGAAAACAAAAAGAAGTAGAAAATAACATAGTGGCTTGATGAATATTGAACTGAAAAAATATATTATAGAAATAATGTATACAGCAAAACAACGTTTGCGAGGTCTACTAGTCTTATATAATTATGTCATCACAACCGACTACAAAGTTGTACCGCTTAGACAGGCTAAATAACAGAGTAGATAGAGAAACCGCGATCATTAATGATTCATTGAAAATAAATGAATTAAATCGCGAATGGTGGGGAATTGATATTTTACATAGATGATTTAATCTTGGTGAGCAAGATCACGCCGGAGAGGAACCATCAAACAAGACCGGAATATATTTCTACGTACCTGAGAACTATCCAGGTCCAGATATTATTTGTCACTATAACTTTTCTCTGCAGATTTAACATTGCCGAATCATATCTTTATTCACAAAATAGTCTGTTTTATAATAGGTTTATAATAATAATAATGAGTTAGTGAAACACCAAAAACTGATCACAGAACAGCCAGAAAGCAATTAATAAGAATTAAAACTACAAATGACATTTCCCACTACGATTATTGTTCTTCTATCACAAAACTTTGCGGTATCGCCACGTTCTTCTTTAAATAATTCATATATTTGATTTAGTTTTCTTCCTCACCAACTAACTAAGTAACTAACTGACTTGCATCTCCTATAAATATAAATATATTTTTTCTGTGACGGGAAAAAAGTTTGGCATTCCATCTCTGTTGGCAGGTTGTAAAATGTCACTTTTCGTAAATTACTTTTCTCCCGTGGGAAGAAAGTGAGTACTTTTTTCCGGATTGTATATCATACTGTTGATGGCTTTTGTTGTGCTATAGTTAGGAAAAATAAGTCAATAATACCGTCTCCGAGAAAGAACTGCAAGTCCTTTTATCTTCCATTCGACTTCGCGGTTACGTATATTATTGAACAACCACTAAATTCGCAATTTTTTGAAATCAAATCACAGAATTAGACTGACAGAAGTGACATCAGATATTTGATTACTTCAAAAGAATGATAAAGATGCCTACAAGGCAGGTGTCCCTATTGTTAAAAACTTAAAATTTCACGTCGATATTTTTCAGATTTCGAAATAATATAATATCTTCTCAATATTGATTCGTCCTTTCTTCTGTCACAGTGAAAACTAGTGCATTATACACGGAAAAATGTAAGATTTTAGCTCACAGTTTTTTGTCTCCCTCCGCTACGCGTGGGGAGACAACACAACCTGGATCTAAAATCTACTACTTTTTTCCCTTTTATAATAAATAACTAGAATTGAAAAATCATCTTAGCAAGAGGATATGTTTCTTGACTTTATTTTGAATTGGGTGATATTCGTGCAACTTTTGATACCATCAGGTAATTTATTGAATTTTGAGATAGCTCTGTGAGTAAACTTTTTTTGGCCAAGTGTAGAATTAGCAGCATGAAGATGAAACAACTCATATTGTCTAGTATGATGTACATTCATGGATTTGAGAATTCCTCACCAATATTTTATTTGTGCCGAAATAAATGAGATATTTTATCCAAATAATCCGGTCAAATCGTCGAGTTGGCAGCAGTTACAAGTTTCCAACAAAGAATACAAAAAAAATTGCATAGCATTTATATGGATTTAATGAATATAAAGTTATTTCGACCACACAACAAAAATAGTCCCAGGTTAGCTACCTTCAGAAATGTAATGTTCCTCGACTTTATTGAACCGTACAAGATTGTTTTTTTCTCATTCGTGTTTATCCCAATGCATCATAGTCCCCCGTCTTATTGATCGTAACGGTCGTCATGCCTCTATAAGCCCTCATGAGTCGCAAGATTTCTCCACAACCTCAAAACGAATACCGAGGGATAACTTTCTCTATTTCTTGCCAATAATGCAGGATCATCCGGTCGCACTCAATTTGGTCACTGCGATCACCCCCACGGGAAATGTCGAGGCTTTGTTGCAATTAAGGTGAGATGTATGCCTTTTTTATGGGGTGAGGTACGTTGACAGCTTTATTGCTGTCATGATAGATGATGCTTGCGGGGGTGAATGGAAAGGAGTTTGACCTCGGCAAGCCAAAGACATACAAACCCGGAATCACTTAATACAGCGCCTGGGGAAGATGATATATTATAGCTAGAAATTGAGTTTTATACGATGATGAAGTGTTTATAGTTTTTATTATTTTTATATTACGATATACCAATTTGGTTTGAAGATACCAGAAGTATTGTATTGAACAATTTGAAGATATTTTAAATACTGTCTGTAGGTTACTCGAGGAGGTGGTACATTCATTATTCCAGATTTTTTGGGATTTTTTCTCCTCGTTTCTATGAAATAAAAATATGAATATTATTTCAATATATTTGTAAAAAGGACAAATCAGATAATGTACCCAAAAAATGTCACTGCCTTCAAAGAATTTTTCTATCGGGGAGCCTAAAAGAAAACATTCACTAGCTTGTAAGTGACAATTTGTATTGAAAAAATTTTGGAGAAGAGAAATAAAGGTATGTAGAAAAAATATCAAATGTTTACTTAGCTTTGGACTTCGAGGGAACGAATCTGCTCCCGTTTCAACATAAAAAAATGGATTTTCCGTATCGCTAATTCGTATTTGTCCTGATACTTTTCAGTTCTCAGTGACAATTGGTGACGTTGGCAATTAAATCCACATTTTTTTCAATACAAATTGGTACTGACAAGCTAGTGAATTTTTCTTTTAGGCTCTCTGATAGGAAAATTCCTCAAACGCAGTGACATTTGGGGGCAAATCATCGGATTTGTCCTCACTACACGTATATTGGAATAAATATTCATATTCTTATTTCATAGAAACGAGGAGAGAAAAACCCAAAAAAACTGGAAGAATAAAGATATCTTATTATGAGATATTTTTCTATTCAGCGACAAAAAATAGAACCATATCAGACCAATTTTTCTCAACGAAAAACATAGAGAATAGGTTCATTCCATCTATGAACAACGTTATTTGTTTCCCTCAAGTGTTTTTATTATTGTTCCAGAGCTACACAAGTTGCATATCAGTACTACTTGACAATTTCTCCAGCTGATGGACTGCTATATGTCTCTGACCCAGAAAAACACCAGATCCTCAGAGTTTTATCCTTGGAACCTGTGCAAGATCCCAGTATCAATAGTGAACCTGTAAGTATATTCAGAATCTGAAAATCATTCGAAATAAGCTTATTGATTGTTCGAAGCAGAAATTATCGATTTCATTTTGAGAATGATTAGTGAATTGGGCGTCCTGATTCCGAATCTGAAGTGATTTTCGACCTATTTTTACTCCTAATATCATTTTTCGGAAATTAGGGTGGTTGCATGGCTGTTGGCGAGCAGTGTATATCACTGAAGATGACCCCACTTGGTCATAGAGTGCATTTTTCAGGATTCTTACCCAACGATTACGTAAAATACAGAAGTGTTTCCATTAGAAGTTGGTCATACTGTATAGTATAATTACCTGACAATCCAATTTTAGAAATATTTTGATTATATAATATATACAAGATGGGCCCTAAAACAGATCCCTGTGGAACACCTTTACTTATCGAAAATTTATACATAATTGAAGAGTGGAAGTAACAAAGGTGCTAAGTGCCATAATTCCATGAATTGAGATATTACTGTAGAACGGTTTCATCAACAACAATTAGATGGAGCCAGCGGTAATAAGCGACAACGGTTATTTGCCATCAAAGGGGGCAAGTACCAGAGTGAATTTTTTTTATCGCTTGGAGCGCACGAAAGGGAATCCCTACAATTTTCAAAGAACATCGTGCGTTCCTAGGGAGGATAGGGACAGGAGGTAGGTATTGGAATTTTTTTTGAACTTTTGGAGATTATATGTTGTTGGGAATACTTCCACAGGCAATGAATTCCAGAGCCTAGCCGTTCTATGGATGAAGGAGTCTTGATAAAGTGCTGTTCGACATCTTTCGAGGTTGACAACGAAAGGATGTGCTGACTGGGCTTGTCTAGTTCGTCTGATTGGTATTGCTAGTGGAGGGATGACAGCAGAGATTTCCGAAGAACATTTCCCGTGGAAGTATCGATAGAAAAGTGAAAGGTCGCCGACCTTCCTACGGTGTTCCAATGATGTCAAAGAGTGAGTGAGTGTGGCGTCACCCACCAGGCGAATGGCTCTTCTCTGGATGGAATCTAAGAGCATCAGCGTATGTTTTGGTGCTGAACCCCATATGTGGGAACAGTATTCTAGAACAGGCCGTATCTGCGCTTTGTAGATCATGAGAAGCTGTTGAGGTGTAAAGTAGCTTTTCGCACGGAACAAGAATCCGAGTTTTTGTGAAGCAGCTTTTGCGATGGATCTGACATGATTATCCCATGAAAGAGTGTTGCTGATGGAAATACCGAGCATAGATATGGTGGGCTTGTTGGGGATGGTGGAGGCAGACATTACAATTTCGGGCATACTGAGTTCCGCCTTTCTAGAGAAAATGCAGGCTTGAGTTTTGGTGGCGTTGAATTCAACTAGGTTGTTTATTCCCCAGGCTGTGATTTCAGCAAGATCTTCATTGACAGCATTGACCTGCCTGCGCCTTGAGTTCTTAGTTTCCTGGGAAGAAATGGAAATTCTGGAAGAGAACGCAGTATGGAGGGTACTAACATCTGCAAAGCTGTGGATGGGGCAAGTTGTTACTCCCAACAGATCATTGATATGAAGCAGGAATAATGTTGGTGCCAAAATTGATCCTTGTGGAACGCCGGAATTGATGCCAAAGGTATCAGACGATACACCATCCACCACCACGTGAAGCGATCTGCCTGAAAGAAAACTCGATAAGAGAAGGCATAGCTGAGGTGGTAAGCCGTATGATGGTGAATTGCTACATTGTCGAATTATTACACCTCGTTCTTTTGTCATTTTTGTTATTATTGAGATTAATGTCAGTTTGACTATTGCTTATATCCTTATTTCCAATTTTGAAAAACTTCAAACTATATCAGCAATACTTCCTGATCCTATTTTGTTAAACAAAAATGTGGCACTTCTTTTTCAAGAAATAATTTTTATTTTCAGCTGTGTTTCATAACAGATATCGGTGTTAGTTAAAATTGGTTTTCCGTTGACCTTTTATACGATTTTTGATGCTTATAAACAAAAAAACAAATATTGACATTTTTATTACTTTTTTCTTCAATAACTCGAAACTTTATTCTTGGCACTTAGCAACTTTGTTACTTCCTCTCTTCAATTCCGAATCACAAAACATGATTTCTCAATAATAATTGAAGTTAACTGCATAACATTCAGGTATAATCTGAATTACAAATAATGCTTACCGAATCGACCCCCCTACGATTGCCAACTGACCCCCTCGTCCCTCCTCCAGGTGGTGGGCAACGGCGAACGGTGCATCCCCGGCGACGAGACGCTGTGCGGCGACGGCGGGCCGGCCAAGAAGGCGCGTCTCGCCCACCCGAAAGGCGTCGCGGTGGCCGTCGACGGCACCATCTACATCGCCGACGGCACGAACCTGCGCGCCGTCGACGCCTCGGGTACCATCCGGACGCTGGTCGGCGACCACGGCCATCGCAACCGGTGGACGCCGATACCCTGTCATGGCGCTGTGGCCGCCTCACAGGTAAGAAACTACTCAAACATGACTTAAGCTCCTAGTGAGGTGCTCTCGCTCTTATTATTTTTATGTTATTTACCTCAGGGTTTAGTAGTAAGTTATGAGAAATAAAGTAAAGATTTATTTCCCCACAGAGTAGGTAATACTAAGATTTGCAAGAGAATCGTAACAATCGTAACCTAACCCTTTTCCTCGAGATTCTCATAGTTAAAAATCAGTCAATCATCAAATCATTCGAGTTCACGCGAAGGAATTAAAGCAGGCTGGGAAATACAATAAATACCTTAGCAAGCGATCAGCAAGGCATTCCAGGTGAGTATTCTTCTCAAATCGGCAATCGGCAATCAAATCTACTGGAGATCTACTTGCCTACGTCACCCATTTATGGCAATCTGTTACGGTTTTATTTTGCACTACGAATTCTCCGTTATTATTATTCTGGAATCATTGAATTTCGTGTTCTTAAGTATCAGATCGATGTCACACTCGGTATCATGTTCACTGTGCTATATGATAACTTCATGTTATATATGCTGTATTATGAACTATCTTTCAGTATTTCGCCTCACTGTACTCACCTTTATTTCAAACAATTTCGCATACATTATATTATGTGCTCAGTAAGATATCATTTAAATATAATGATCCATCATTGTTTACTTTATTTTTATTTCAATGATTAAATCAATTGACAATCGATTTCTGACAATTATAAGTCAATATTCAATGACAGAGTTGACAGATAACATGTGAGATATTTTCTTAGTACAGATACTTTCTTTCTGACCCGAGATGGGTCCATAATACGTCAGCGATAGTTCGTCTTGAGAACACGAATGTCTGCAAGCAGTTGTGAAACCGTAACTTTTTCCTCAGCAGCAACACGAATAGTTGTTCATCAAATGTTTATCCGGATGGTGTAAGCACTGATCAGATTTTGTTTGTCGAGTATTTATTCCGGATGAATATCAGTTTAGTTCGAGATCTGAGTAAATGCCTTAGTGGTTGTTATAAACTTTAACTGAGTGTAGGATCCGAACTCACGATAAAAAGTTTCATGGATGATTTTACACTTGGAATCTGCTCGCACCATCCTTATAAATTATTCAGCGCCAGCCATCAGTCATCACGAAAATACTGTCGTTCATTTAAGTTTAATATGTCACAGAACTATTCTCAGATTCCTGTATGATCTAAGGAATCAGTTTCGCGTATAAATCACTATAAATCGATGCAATTGACAGCAGTGACATTTCATATTTTTGATATCTGACTGACATTTCAATTTTTCACTTTTGATTCTTCCTTGGTACTTGTGGGAGTGTATGGCCGATTGAAATATCTCCATCGAATTATTCGATCATCTCTGTATGGATTTGGAGAATTTCAACATTATATGATTCATTACGTATCGGACCAATATTGGATGTTTGTATTTTGAATGAAATCATATTTTCTGCTCTGCAGGATATAAAGCCAAAGTAAGTTTTTTTTTGAGGTTAATATTTTCAGACTTGTAAGTTTCTTTTATAACTTCAGAGCTCCTGTCTTGTCTATCCAACAAGTACCATTGTGGAAATAACTGACACAGACAATCCACAACATCGGAATTGTTAAAATAACCCTCAGCTACAAAAGAGGTTAGTATCATCTTTGTCAGTCAGCATGATCATTATGCAATCTATTGAAGTGAACTCAGACTAGTATTGTTTATTTTTAGGGTCCTACTCCTAGTCCTAGTCTTAATTCTAGTCCTACTCCTAGTTCTTGCCGTAGGCATAGGCTTCATCCCACTATTAGTACTATAGTACTACTGTTCACCCTAGTCCCTGGTCATTGTATGTCTGGACCATAGACTCGTGCTGGTATATATCATATACATCTACACTACTTGTCTAGAGTTTTCTACATTGGTTAACAAGAATACCTGCAGTTTTTGCTGTGTCTTCGACAACGAGCAGTCTTCCAGTTGAGGCCTGATTGCCTTGACCAGAGGGAAGAGGGATTCAATCATAAGTAACGCCATAGGAGCTCCACTGAGCATTCAGATAAGTCTGTCACACCATAAAACCTAAGGGAAGGCCCCATATACCTGTATAAATTTTACATTCAATATTAAGCTGTAAGCTATCCCCGTGACGTCACATGAATAGCCCTTCTTAGGACCTTCCCTATATTTGTATCAATTTAATATACAAAACTATATATATCTGAAATCTGAATGCTCCCTTGAATGCCACTTCACTTACATAACTATATATGGTGTTATCATATGATTTGAATAGATAGTTTCAAGGTGTATGACTATTATTTCTTCATTAATCAACCCCAGGGTACTTGTAAATTTTACCAGATATTTGTAAATTATTGACTCTACCGATAGCAGTGGTTTATCCCTTTCATCAGGGTGGTTTCTGATTTTGGCTAGCGAAAAATCAGTGGCGCACCGGAAAATTTACCCCTTTCATTATATACTGTTACTCATATAATTCAAAAATACATGAACCGTACCCACACCCTAACTGAGCAGCTGGGAGGGTTAGTGGCAAGTACTTTATCTTTTGCATGAACCCTGCTTATCAAAACCTTGCCCCTAACAAATCTTCAATAGAAAAACACGGGGAATCTCTAGCTGTCGCGTTGGACATATCGAAAGCATTCGACCGTGTTTGGCACGACGGACTCCTCCACAAACTACCATCATACGGCTTACCACCTCAGCTATGCCATCTGTTATCGAGTTTTCTTTCAGGCAGATCGCTTCATGTGGTGGTGGATGGTGTATCGTCTGATACCATTGGCATCAATTCCGGCGTTCCACAAGAATTAATTTTGGCACCAACATTATTCCTTCTTCATATCAATGATCTGTTAGGATTAACGACTTGCCCCATCCACAGCTTTGCAGATGATAGTACCCTCCATACTGCGTTCTCTTCCAGAATTCCCATTTCTTCCCAGGAAACTAAGAACTCACGGCGCAGGCAGGTCAATGCTGTCAATGAAGATCTTGCTGAGATCACAGCCTGGGGAACAAACAACCTAGTTGAATTCAACGCCACCAAAACTCAAGCCTGCATATTCTCTAGAAAGTCGGAACTCAGTATGCCCGATATTGTAATGTCTGGCTCCATCATCCCCACCAAGCCCACCATATCTATGCTCGGTATTTCCATCAGCAACACTCTTTCATGGGATAATCATGTCAGATCCATCGCAAAAGCTGCTTCACAAAAACTCGGATTCTTGTTCCGTGCGAAAAGCTACTTTACACCTCAACAGCTTCTCATGATCTACAAAGCGCAGAAACGGCCTGTTCTAGAATACTGTTCCCACATATGGGGTTCAGCACCAAAACATACACTGATGCTCTTAGCACAACCGAGACTCCTTCATCCATAGATCGGCTAGGCTCTGGAATTCATTGCCTGTGGAAGTATTCCCAACAACATATAATCTCCAAAAGTTCAAAAAAAAATCCAATACCTACCTCTTGTCCCTATCCTCCCCAGGAACGCACGATGTTCTTTGAACATTATAGGGATTCCCTTTCGTGCGCTCCAAGCGATAAAAAAAATTATTAGCCTCACAGTACAACCATTGATTACTATCAGCGTCCGGGATGATATTCTAATGGCTTTGGGAATATCTCCACTATTAGAATACTCAAATCTATGCTCAAACAGATAACAGAGCCCTTTCTGTTATAGAAATTCGAAGCCCACACTTTTTTACGTAGTGGGATTGGGAACAACCGCACTCTACCAGTGCTCAGCAGCTTCTGTCTCGTTCCACCACCACGCCCCCCGAAAGGTTGAATGTCCAGGATCAAGTGCCGCCATATAACTAGCTCACGTTATATGATAGCTCCTCATCCCCATGTCCATCCACCCCCACTCACTAACGAGTGGACTTCAACCTTATGCATTTGGCAATCTGCAGATGTTTTATAAAACCCCTTACTTGGTTTCAGTCTTACGACTTTTGAACCTTTTTGTCTAATATGTGTTTCCTAGCCTGACTTTGCGTGGTGGTTCCCTACCCTAATGGAAAGCAAAATTGAGTTTATGTCTTATTATTATTGGATTACTTTTTTATAGGGTATCAAAGGAGATACTCTTTTGTTCAATTATCTGATGATTATTATGCAACTTTTATTGATATTGATTTAATTTCGTTCTTTTATCTTATATTTGGTGAATTGGGCTCCTGTACCTTATTCTTCCGAAGCGCGGATCTTGATTTAATTGTCTGTTGGTCAGGTCGTGCAGTAGCGGGTTCTCGTGGGTTTCCGTTCTTCCGAATGTAGTCTCCGCGTGTTGTCTTATGTAGTTGTCTATGTAGTCTGGGTTTATCTGTCTCGTTCATCGTCTTTCGTCTGTCTCTTATCTCGCTGTTCTTCGGACCTAGCCTGCTTCCCCTCCACATTCCACCAGTTCTGTCTTCTAAAACACTCGCGAACACAGCAGCGCACCACACTAGGAAGTAAAGTTCAACTTTACCTCCTAGGAACTGAATATGTTGCCTAGCAACATATCTATATTTGTGTCAGTAATAGAAACGTCAATTCAAGAGCTAATTTGGAGGGTGTCAGGTGGAAACAGGGAATGTCCTCGCGACAAATGTCAGAGACAATGTAATTTTGAAGATTGAAACATCACAGCTGAATCGTTTGAATGAGAGCCATTCCATTTCAAGAACATCTTATATTTATTGAACAAATATATGAAATATGTGGAATGAAATGTTAGATGAATTCAAAAAGCTCAGTCATTTCCACAAAATGTTCATAAAATGAACAACAATGGTAGATTTCGGGAAAAAAACAACTACTTTCCTGACTAATGCCACGCAGAACATTGAATTACATCCTCCCGGAATCTATGCATCGACTCGTATAAACGAATACTCTGATACAAGTGATTCTTTCCTGAATGCCTATTGATTTCGATCGAAATCCCTTACCCTATGTTGTTTATTCTTGATGACATCTAGTAAATCCTTTTCAGTTCCTAGGAGCTAAAGTTCAACTCTAGCTCCTAGGAACTAAAGTTCAACTTCACCTCCTAGGAACTGAATATGCTGCCTAGCTACATACCAATTTTTGTATCAGTAATAGGAATGTCAATTCAAGAGCTAATTTTGGTATCAAAATGGACGACTTTTGTGTCGGTTGCAAAAAAATAACACACTTATTACATCATCTTCGAATTCCAGGCCCAACTGCAATGGCCCACCGGCATAGCCCTGAGCCCGCTGGACGGCTCCCTCCACTTCATCGACGACCGCCTCATCCTCAAACTCACCCCCGACCTGAAGATCAAGGTGGTGGCCGGCACGCCGCTCCACTGCCGCAGGGAGGACAACTCCTCCAGGGCGGAGGGGGAGAACGTCCTCGGCACGGTGGTGGCGCTGTCGTTCGCCCCCAACGGGGACCTCTACATAGCCGAGTCGGATACTCGGAGCGGGTACTACGCCAGGTTGATCGACACCGCAGGTGAGTCTATTTTCATTACACCCTAATAACACACCTCCATCCATTGGACATCCAATGGATATCCTCAACCGGACATCCATAGGATAACCACTTCGTGTACACGGGGCATCCTATGGATGTCCATAGGATATCAGCTTTCCACATTTTGACATACATGCGTTATCCATGATGGACATCCATTCGGTGTCCAGTATGGGCATCCATATGGTGTCCAGCATATATTGGACATACAGTGCGTTCATAAAGTGTGGAAACGCTCTATTATCTTACGATATAATTATTTTCAGAGGTAAAGCTCGGACAGGTCGATTTTGTATTTCAGTCTTCCATCTTTTTTTACAAAAAAATAATTTTTTCCCCCACCACCTTACAAGATATGACGTCATCGATATTTTTTTTAAATTGAAAGGGTATATTTTTATATCAAAAATTGAAAGCCCATATTTTTCTGAGTTCAACCATACCACATACGTCATATCTTACACTTCAAGTTACAGTATACTGAGTATAAAAGAAACCAGTGTTCATATTTCTCAACATTCATTTAATTATTTATTTTGCAATGGAAACCTGAGAATTACTCAGCATTTGCTGTAGATTTGTTATTTGTTTATTTTCACTACTTCTTATGATATTTTCATTGCAAATAAATAATTAAATGAATGTTGAGAAATATGAACACTGGTTTCTTTTATGCTCAGTATACTGTAACTTGAAGTGTAAGATATGACGTATGTGGTATGGTTGAACTCAGAAAAATATGGGCTTTCAATTTTTTATATAAAAATATACCCTTTCAATTTAAAAAAAATATCGATGACGTCATATCTTGTAAGGTGGAGGGGGAAAACATTATTTTTTTGTAAAAAAAGATGGAAGACAGAAATACAAAATCGACCTGTCCGAGGTTTACCTCTGAAAATAATTTTATCGTAAGATAATGGAGCGTTTCCACACTTTATGAACGCACTGTATATACGAACCTATATATTTTTGTATGTTCTGGTTCCCACGACAGATTAGGTTATTTTTTTATTATTTCAAACATATAGTTCATGGGTGAAACCTAAAGTATACAGTGTGGAGACTTCAACTGAAATAAATTCGTTAGCGGTAAGGCGAATATTTTTTCTAACATTTCCCGGCATACGTCAAAGATTTATGTATTTACCTACCTTTTGCAAGCAGTATCGAGAATATATCCCTCCAAGGGTAGCTGAAACCACCCTCAACATGATTTTTCCAAATGTAACCCTATGGCTTGTGACCCCTCATTGGAAAGCTGCTGGAAAGAGGAATCCAGCGTACTATTTGAATTTGAGTTTTTCATATGTTCAAAAGTTGCATAAAATTGAAATGTAATTTTAAAAATCATCTATTATTCCGTTCAGAAATGATTTTTTTGAGGTGGTATTTGAATTTTATTGTATTTCTGCACTGTCCCACTTTTATTCATCATCAAACCAAATCCCAAGTTGAATACCCACTTAGGTGTGTACTTTGATAAAAAGCTCACTTGGGACCAGAACATTGAATAGAAGTTTTCGAGAGCCAGATGAAGTGAATTGGGTTTGAGGCAGAAATTGAATATTTCCATCTTGGCAAACAGGCTCTTTTCACTGTATGCTTCGGTAGTCTAGGGCGACATATCATTTCACCAGGATCGGCTTGGTATGTTCGGAATAATCATATCTTCAGGGATCTAAAACTTCATCCAATCGTTAGAGAACGCATACCTTGTTCTTCCATTTCAAGTTTGAAATTGCAAGGTAATTTGAAATTATGTCTTATTGATAACTGGAAAAATATTCAAGAGATGAAAAACCGAATGGAACAAGATCTCACTTCAATTACATTTTTAACTACAAGGTCATAAATTTACAGTCAATTTACCCTTTCATGTGTTCATCTCGAAAAGAGTTATACCCAGGAACCGAATCGACTTTTTTGAGTGCAGACATTTTTGCATGAATCCTGCAAAAAAGTTCAAAACGCTCAGGCTGAACTATAGACCACTTTCTGTCTTGGTCATCGCATATTCAGGTGCTTATCAGAAAAATATCTGCCACTGTTGGTATATTATACAAATTGAGGTGCATTTCCTTCCATTTCACTAAAAATGAAAAATGCATACATACGCGAATCCTACTTTCAATATTAGTTCTGATACCCATCAGCATCACACCGACAAAGTGATCATTTGAAACCTGTCAAATTAAAAACCCAATGATTTGGGATACAAATCATCATATTTTTGTCCATAACAGTCTACCCGATGAAATCTATCAATCTCGTCACAAAAAATCAAGATAGAACTGCAGAAATGAATTATATCAATTCAATTCCCTTCTTTAGCTTGATCAATTCTGATTTGACTGTTTATCTCCCAATTTTATTTTTATTTTTGTTGTGTCCTCCCTCAAACATGTATGTTGTTCCTTTCATGGGATAAATGAATGTTATTATCTGCTGTTTCCATAGATAGTCAGAGGAAAACCCTATTTGAAAAATGTCATGTTGGGGTCGTAGGGAAATTATATTCCCTCACCCTGAAATAATATCATATATTTCACGACTCGATTTGACTCGTTTTATCAACTTTCTTTTTTTTAGGCAAAATCACCCATTTCGCCGGTAGACTTCCGGACAAAACAAGGAAACCCTGCGACTGCTCAACGAACTCCACGACAGCGACCCCTATCGGCAGGATCCCAGACTCTCCGCCACCGTGCACATGTCCCACTTTTGACGAAACCACAAGCAACGCCGAAACGCTGTTATCGTCCAACGCCAAGTTCCAGTCCATATCGGCTTTGGCAGTCTCGCCAGGCGGGGTGTTACACGTGGCAGACCAAGGATCGCTGCACATCCTCTCTTTAGAGCACTATCTACCCACTCACGACGAGAACGGGGAGTTCAGGATACCCTATCCGGCAGCCAGTGAAGTTTACGTCTTCAACAGGTACGGGCAACAATTTCAATTTCATTTCAAATGTTATTGCTTTTTAGAAAAAATACATTTTTGTCCGATTGGCAGCAAATATTAATTTTGCTGACACATATCAATCAGCAAAGTATTATTTTTCCTGCCTAGGCAGCAAAGTGGTTACTTTGCTGATTGATATGTATCAGCAAAATTAATAATCCATAAATCGTTTATAATTTCCTTCATATTTCATCCGAGACTTCTCCAGCAACAAATTCAACTCTGTATTTTTTGCCATCTCCCTTATTTCTGGAGGTTTAAGTACTTCCAGGTCGCTATCACTGTCCATTATATTACAATTTAAATATACCGATATTTTTTCGCACAACTGTCAGAAATTTCATAAATTGTCAAACTATAATTATTATGGACATTTCCATAGCAACCAACCATTCCAACAACTGCGATTTCAATCAAATTTTATTTTAATTGAACACTACAGGAAAAATAAAGAGATATATATCATTATGAACAATCGGAGAAAAAATTATATGTTCAACTCGGCAGCAAAATAGATTGACTGCCTTAGCTGGATTCCTAGCCTCGCTACGCTCGGCTACGAATTCAGCCTCGGCAGTCAATCTACTACTTTGCTGCCTAGTTAAACAAATAACTATTACTTTCAGCAAGAAGTTTGGTTTCAGTGTACAGAGTGTCCAATTTTCGATGCTTTTGCATGATATCTCAGTTATCTTTGGAGATAGAACCTTGCGGTTTTCGCGGTCCTGTGCCACTTTTTTGTGAAACTCAAGATGGCCTAATCAGATTTTGCAAGACTGTTTCCGTTAATGAGATACAGGGCGATTTTGAAAATTTATACTTTTTGGACCCCCTCTATATCCACGAAGTTTCTCAACAAAAATGTCAAATCAAAATCTTATCGCATAGAGAATTTCACGCATAATCCAGTGGCGCACTTAAATTTTTTTCTCGGGGTATGATTTTGGAGATACGACTCAAACTTATGATTTTTTAAATGGAACACCCTGTATTTCATGAGCTCATCGAATTCCTCATTTTTTTGTCTTCAAAATGATATATAAAATATGAATTTAAAATCTTCAAAATTGCTCAAAATCACTAAAATATTGAATTTTGATAGTTGGTTATGAATTTTTCTTATAAAAAACGTTCCAATTGAAGAAATATTTCTTCAAATTTTTCCATGGAGAGGTCAAAACCAATATCAACACTTATTAATTAACAAAACACCAAACTTGGGTACCTGATAGCAACAAATAAATAGTAATAAAAAGTTCATAATGTAGAATAAGCACCTGATTAAATATTTACTAAAATAATTGAATCCCGGAATTATTCAATAACTTATTCATTGACATGTTCAAATTGATATCCATTTTCCCTAACATACAGTTGACAAACTTTCTTAATACTTCTTAATACAGTGAGTGGCCCAACATACTTGACTAACTTTGTGCAACAACAGAGGCCGTTTTCCAGGAATTACAAAGACATTTTTCAATGATTAATATGTATTGAGAAAGTTTGTGATGGAAAATGGACTGAACAATTCAATGAATAAATCACTGAATAATTTCGGAATTCTATTGTTTTAAAAAATATTCAATCAGGTGCTTATTCTACATTATAAACTTTTTATTACTATATATTTGTGGATATCAGGTATCTAAGTCTTGTGTATTGCAAGTTAATTAGTGTTGAAATTGTTTTTCCCCCTTCATGGAACAATCAAACGAAATATTCCTTCAATTGTCAATTTCTTTATGTGAAAATCCCTTGAAAAACCCATAGCCCACTATCAAAATTCAATGTTTTAGTGATTTTTGAACATTTTTGAAAATGTTATATTCATACATCATATATCATTTCGAAGGGAAAAAAATAAGGAATTTGATGAGCTCATAAAATATAGAGTGTTCAATTTGAAAAACCATAAGTTTGAGTCGTATCTTCAAAACCACACCCCGAAAAAAATTGTTTTGTGCGCCACTGGATTCTGCATGAAATTCTCTATGGGTTAAGATTTCAATTTGACATTTTCGCTGATAAAATTCGTATATGTAGAGGGGGTCCAAAAGGTATAAATTTTCAAAATCGCACTGTATCTCATAATCGGAAACAGTCCTGCAAAATCTGATCAGGGCATCTAGAGTTTCACAAGAAAGTGGCACAGGACCGCGAAAACCGCAAGGTTCTATCTCCAAAGATAACTGAGATATCATGCAAAAGCATCAAAAACTGGACACACTGTACATATACAGAGAGACTGAGCTCTACTATAACTAAAGACCTTATAATACTGATGAGCCTAAACATATGTAATTTTTTTTTTGTTGCTAATGGGAAGAAAACATGAGTTATGACAATATCGGATAGTAATACAAGGAAAAAATGAGAATCACAAGTGAAAGGGCAAACAGTGTGAACTATAAATTGCAGTTATTCGTTAGTGATGAATGCGCGCAATTTCAAGATTCCTATAATATAAGAGCTTAACATTTTTGCATCCCTAGCTGATACGTTGTCAATCCCAACTACAAAAGTATCAAGGTTGTTTAATAAAGTACAATTCCGGGGTTTCACTGCTGTTAATATAGGATGTAAAAACTTCACAAACGATAAGATTTCCACAAAATTTATTAAACACACGACATGTTTCGCTAACACAGTAGCTTCGTCAGGTGATATACTGGTACAATGAACTAAACTAACGTTGGCTTGCTTAACTTTTATATATCTTACCTTCCCAACCTGAAGGATTATAGTTACCTGTGGGCAGGTACGATAAACCTACATTTTCGGAAATTAGGCACAATATCTACATTAAATTACGGTATACCGGATTAACTTGAAAGAGTTGATATCAAATACATATTATTACTTACTAAGAAATATAATAATATAGGACATTCAAAGATTAAATGCTGGAAGCTAAGAGGCAGATCCAGGTTACAGATGTCGCATTTATTATTGAAATCAATCACATATAAGTTATCATTATAAGTGACTGTTAAATGTCATTTACTAGCTAGTCTGATTTGAGCAATTATGCGAGTGATATAAATAGGAATTTGGTCAAATTCACGGTACAGCAGATAATATTGCGACAGTGAAGCATAAATGGTTTTTGTATTTGTCGAGTAAGGTTTTTTTCGAGTCTTTGAGCCTTTGTAAGCTCAAGTTATTTAGGAGGCCAATGGGGTTATATCACAAAAAAATGTATTTCATAATTTGATAGAACTTACCCAAACTAGCTCACCACCGCAAACCGTTTCCTGCTGTGAGCTCCCTATGTTTTATAAAAAATTATTGAAATCCCCGATTTTTCGGACCTCTGAAAACGAGGCGATGATGTGACGTCAAACCCTAATACTGAAACAAGACTTTTCCAGACAGAGATGAATGATACATGATTTCTGGCAGAGTGAATTAGCGCGAGATCACAGTTGAAAGAATTAATATATCAGTTGCCTCAGTCTCCTTCGGGCGTTTGGTATTTTCTTTTAACTATGGCGAGATGAGGTTTCTACGTCATAAGAGGGTCCGTTTTCAGAAGGTACTACTATTTATGTCCAAAAATAAAACATTCCAGTTAATTTTTCGATCGAATTATGTCGTCAATCATTATTTATGTATAAAATGATTATTATAAACATGGTTTGAGTTGAAAGTTCCACTAAGGTGTACACGTCCATTGTGTGAAGGATCTCTATAAGTTGTTTAATCCAATTGTACCTCGCTTCTCCGTTTTCCATGCCAAGTAGTTTATTCAAGCAAATTCTTGGTAATTCTTCTTCAACAGGTACGGGCAACACGTTGCCACCAAAGACCTCGCCTCAGACAAGACCAGATATACCTTCCTCTACTCCAAGAACACCAGCTTCGGGAAGTTGTCGACTGTCACCGATAGCTCCGGCAATAAGATACAGTTCTTGAGGGACTACAGCAATGCTGTCAGCTCCATAGAGAACACTCAGGATCATAAGTCGGAGCTAAAGATTTCCGGGATTGGGTATTTGATAAAGCTCAGCGAGAAAGGTCGAGCTGATATCGATTTGGACTATGACATGAACACAGGACTGCTTTTGAGTCGGTCTGGGGTGAGTGAACCTTCAAAGAACTTCCTTAGCTTTGATGATTAACGCTGTTATTTTCTGCAGGGTACTGAAACTTTTATATATCAATACGACTGGCTGGGTAGAGCTACAGGAGTTATACTGCCTAGTGGGGAATCCATTCAGTTATCTTCGAGGATATCAGATAGTGGAAGTTTGGAGATTTCTGTCAGCGATCCTCCGAGTGTTTTACGTATTGATGGAAGCGTAAACAAGCACGTTTTAATAATTGATAGTAAGTTTGGCATCACGAATTAATATTACCAACTTATCAAAGAAAAAACAAAATACACTAAGTCGTGGAATCAATAGTATGATTTGCAAAGGAAGAGTGAGTTGTACTGTTAGGGTTATCTGAGTTAAGAAATTTGTGGACAAGTCTGTTATGTTCCGAGGCGCGGGTTTCAAAACTTCTACCAGTTTTACCTATAACCTCGGAACATAACAGATTCATCCACAAATGTTTCAACTCAGATAACCCTAACACTACAACTCACTCTTCCTTTGCAAATTATATTATTGATTCCAGTCATTCTTTTGATGTTAACTCCAATATGGAGATTATCCACATTTGCAATGAAGGTCCACGGCTAAACCTGGAAATTTTAGAAATTCAAGAATGTTTCAATAATCAAAATATTAACTGTCTCAATGACCGAACTAATTTAGAACGAAACTACATTTTTCGCACACTCAAATTCTCATGACCAATTTTGTCGTGCTTGCTTTTACTCAAGCCGGCCCTGTTTTGTTCACCTTCCTGCGATCTTCTTCTGGGTTTGATTATATTTACTACACGCCTTGACATTTCTTTTTTTTTCTTAGATTATTCATATTATTCAACCTCACCAAGTACTTCTCCATTAGGTTTTTAGGCATAATGGACTTTGTAATTTATTCAGTTTTCAGACATTTTTTGTAATAGTATCATGACTCATAATGTTCAAAATTTACTCTTATATTGTACATGTCATTTGGTTTGTATCATTTGTCACTGTCATTTGTCTTGTTATTCTGTCAACGTCTGTTGCTATGCTTGACGCTTCGCCTTCTCCTTGGCTTTTGTCTTTCAAGAAGAGGCCATTTTGAGATGAAACTGAATTATTTACTAAATTTCCCAAGTATGTGTCAATCTTGAACCTAATGATTGTTGGGTTCTGTTGGCTGTTCAGTCAGTTCAAAAATTTTAATATCTCTTCACCGGACTGATTTTTGGCCAAATGACCACTGCTCCTTAAAATTTTCAATTTTATTTTATTATGTGATTTCCACGTGGCCTTATAGGTATGTTTGTTTCTCAATATCTTATTATCCTTGTAAACTAAATATCTTTACAGGTACTGTGTATTATTTCTGAAGATGGCAGTTTGAGCCGAAACTAGTCACAAATGTCAATTTTTGTGATAAAACTCTGTGGTCGACCGACTTGGTGTATTTTGTTATTTGTTCGAAAAAATGAGAAGGATGGATGGTTTTCATGACTTACCAACATATATTTAACGCTTACACCCTGGTTGATCCTTTATAAAGTTTCCTAATTACTTGCTAATTGAACGATATCGATTTTTGTTTCAGATAAGGAAGTGACTGACGCAGTCACCCTGACCAACTCGACCGTAGCTCTAACCTCAGCCTACGATGGCTCCATGAAAGTATGCGCTATCGCTCGCCATCCCCTTTTGGAAGCATCCCTTCCGGTAGAAGCCGAACTCCTTCCAGTCTGGTCGGAACAAACCATGACCTTCGGCGACAATCTAGAGAACGTCATGTCCACCTCGTTCAGTTTAGTCGGTGACGTCAGGAACCCACAACAAACTCTCTACAGAGAAATATTCGTTAATAACACCAAAATACTCGGCATCGAGTTCGATCAGTTCACTAGCAGAGAGACCTTCTTCGACCACGATAAGCTGCCTCTTTTGACAATAACCTACGACCCTGCAGGTCTACCGCTGCTTTACACTCCGTACAACGGCGCCGACTCCTTGAACATAACGTACGATCACTTCAACCGAATCGACAGTTGGAAATGGGGGATATCAGAGCTGAAGTACAGCTACGACAGACACGGTTTACTGTCCGAAGTAACCAGTCCGCTGGACGGTACTCTCATGTACACCTACGATGACACCAACATGTTATCGAAGATCACGTTGGCCAGCCAGAGAAGCTTCACTCTCAGCTACGACGACAACGGAGGTCTGTGCCACGTGACCTTGCCTAGCGGCACCAAACACGCGTTCAGCCTTCAACCGACTTTGGGCTTCCTTAGGGCAACCTACACTCCTCCGGGTAGTACTAGATCGTACCTGCAGCACTTCTCGCACTCCGGTACGCTTTTGCAGACCGTTTTTCCCGGCGAAGGTGCCAGACTGGTCTACAGGTACTACGACAATAACAGGCTGAAAGAGGTGGTACACGGCGATGGTAAAACTCTGTATCAGTACTCGGAAACGTCTGGTTTGCCGAGTCAAGTGAGCCATGCCGAACAGGAAATGGAGTACCGATGGGACTACCAGTACACCGGTGGTTTGCTGATGGAGGAGCGGATCGATTTCGGTGCCAAAACAGGACTGAGCAACGCTAAGTTCACGTATGATTATGACAACAACTATAGGTTGATAGCTGCGCAGGGTCGAATCGGTGGCCAAAATTTGCCGCAGCATAGTTTGGCGTACAATTTCAGAACGGGCGCTTTGGAAATGATCGGACCTTTCAAGATTATCAAGCAGAGAGTGAATGAGACTAATGTGTATGATGGGACAGCTTTGTTTTCTAGTAGTACCAGTTCTAGGTTCTTGGAGACCAGGGTAGCGTTGACTATACACGGTATGGAAGTGTTCAGAATGGAGTTCAGTCACGACATGCATGGGTAAGCGTAGCACCTTTCAAAACTTTCTGGTTTTTTCAAATGTTTTGTTTCTTTTAGGAGAATATCACAAACTCGAACTTATACCAAGAATGTTGGTGTTAATACCTACACCAATGTGAAAAACTACACGTGGGATTGCGATGGCCAACTTTTGGGAGTAGAAGCTCAAGAACCATGGGGTTTCAGATATGATGATAATGGAAACATGCTCTCGCTCACATATCGGTAAATAAATTTGAAAAAAGAAAACACAAAATACACTAAGTCGGTCGACCACAAAGTTTAATTACAAAAAATTTACTTTTTTGTGACTAGTTTCGGCTCGAACAGCCATCTTCAGACACAATACACAGTAGCTTTAAGGATATTTAGTTTACAAGGATAATAAGATATTGAGAAAAAACATACCTAGAAGGCCACGTGAACATCACATAATTAATAAAATTAAAATATCAATAGAACCCAACAATCATTAGGTTCAAGATTGCAAACTAGGGAAAATTAGTAAATAATTCACTCAAAGGAGTTTCATCTTAAAATGGCCTTTTTTGCAAGAGAAAAGCCAAGGAGAAGGCGAAGCGTCAAGCATAGCAACAGGCGTTGACAGAATAACAAGACAAATGACAATGACAAATGATACAAACCAAATGACATGTACAATATAAGAGTAAATTTTGAACATTAGGAGTTATGATAATATCAAAAATAATTTCTGAAAACTGAATTAATTACAAAGTCCATTATGCCTAAAAACCTAAAGGAGAAGTAAGTGGTGAGGTTGAATAATATAAGTAATCAAAGAAAAAGAGAAGAAATGTTACGGTGTAGTAAAAAATAGTTATTTATTATACAAGGGAAAAAAGTAGTAGATTTTAGCTCCAACAAACCGTGAGCTAAAATCTAATATTTTTTCCGTGTATAATACACTATTTTTTTCTGTGGCAGAAGAAAGGACGAATCAATATTGAGAAGATATTTCATTATTTTGAAATCTGAAAATTATCGACGTGAAATTTTGAGTTTTCAACAGTAGGGACACCGCGTTGTAGGCATCTTTATCATTCATCTGAAGTAATCAATATCAGATGTCACTTCTGTCAGTCTAATTCTGTGATTCGATTTAAAAAAATTGCGAATTCAGTGGTTGTTTAGTAATATACGTAACCGCGAAGTCGAATGGAAGATGAAAGGACTTGCAGTTCTTTCTGGGAGACGGTATTATTGACTCATTTTTTGGAACTATAGCACAACAAAAGCCATCAACAGTGTATATATATGTGATATATATCTGGGAAAAAAGTTCTCACTCTTTTCCCACGGGAAAAAAGTAATTTGTGAAAAGAGATATTTTATAACCTGCCAACAGGGATGAAATGCCAAACTTTTTTCCCCGTCACAGAAAAACATTAATATTCTTTACCGGACTCATAGTGGAAGGAGAAGATGGTGTGCCTACGCGCATATTATGTGACGTCATCTGGGATACCAATATCAGCTGCTAGTCACAGACATTTCCGTTGCCATGGGCGTGCGCAATGAATTCAATCACGTTTATTGAAAGTTCTATGAGTGTCTGGATCTGATTAGAAATAATTAAATTTATATAAACAGGTATCTATTCCTTCGATTTTACTATTTCATTGATTCTGGAAATTGTGACTTTGAGGTAATTCGCAATCGCAAAAACATACGAATCATCATGCATTGCCAATCCCATATCAATTTTTGCCGTTTTGTTATTCAAATCTTTGGTGCAATTCATATTTTGTGAGAAATTAAGAGTTTTGAGTTCATTTTCAATTATTTCTGACTTGATATTCGACGGAATTAAGATGTTCTGTAGGAATGGCATCTTGTTTCAAATATTTGTGATTTTTTGTCAAGAACCGTACTTTCGCAGTTGTTTGGGAACATTTTGCATGGAAATGTTTCAAATACGTGCTGTAATATGAATGTGATGATAATATGATGGGAGAATACTTTTGGAATGAGAATATTGTCGTGAAAGGGGGTTCTTTTCACGACTGACTAGGTAGGGTGTGTCAATAAATGATCTAATTTCCATAGAAAGGCCAGTGACAATTTATTTTAATGAATGATCAAATCTCTCTAGTGGGATTCACCTATTACCTTACAATTACTTACTTTTATAGCTACATCTATCTTCTCGACTACAACTAAGACCATGCCCTTGGCCAGGGACCCCCAAACGGCCGAACACTCTCTTGGGCACCTTCACTACCCGCCTACCTCTCAAATCTTCCTATCCCAATACCTGATGAGTTTTTTTAATTTCCCATACGTGATGTTGATCAAATTATTGTATTCTTTTAATAATATTTGGGTGTTCAATCGTTCAAGGTAAATGGATTATAAATTTGATTACACTGGGTGTTACACTCGCTTTCATGACAATATAAGGAATATAAGGTAGGTACCATTTTCATTCGGTCTCCATTCTTGGAAAAGCAGAAAAATTCAAAATCTGTGCCTTTTGTATGTTAGTTGGAATTTCCATAACCAGAAACGGAACAATTGAGTATCTGAAGTTCGAGACATCAATCACGAAACAAATAATAGCAATGACAATTATATCCCAGCTGACGTCATGCGCAGAACAAGACGAATTTGAGCTTTCTGTTGAGCACACCATCTTCTCCTTCCACTATGACCGGACTGAATTTTGGCCAAATGACCACTGCTCCTTGATATTTTAATTTTATCATTTATGTGATTTCCACGTGGCCTCGTGAACTCAATATCTTTACAGGTACTTTGTATTGTGTCTGAAGATGGCTGTTTGAGCCGAAACTAGTCACAAAAAAGTGGATTTTTTGTAATTAAACTTTGTGGTCGACTTAAATAAATTTAAAATAAAATATTCTAATGAAGTTTCACTGTGATGTTCAATTTGTAGAGGTAACACTATACCGATGGAGTACAACACCATGGATAGGATCATCAAATTTGGCGAAGGGCAATACAAATACGACAGTAGGGGGTTGGTTATACAAAATGCTAGAGAAGAAAAGTTTCACTACAATGCTAAAGGATTACTCATCAGAGCCACCAAAAGAGGCCGATTCGATGTCAGATATTTCTATGATCACATGGATAGGTGAGTTTATTTTCAGTATCACTTCTTTCTAGAGAGCCTAAATCTCTCGGAGTATGCCTAATCATATGGTATACAGTGGTCCCACTTACCATGCTCACCATGGGTATCTTTTTAACGGTGAGAGATACGAGGTCGGTTAAATAACACCAAATGTGGAGTTTGTCAAGGCCAACTATAATGTGTAAAAATATTTTGATAAAATCTATTCGTTTTTGTTTTATACGCAAAAAACAGATTTTGATCATTTTCATGTCTCCTCCGTAACTTCTTTATTTATGAAAATATTCAAATAGGAATTTCTCATTCTCATGGCAGTTCTTCAAAGTGATTTCGAAAAAAATATGAAATTTATACCAACTCTTCTAGAATTTGAGATATCAGCACCAACTTTAGTTTTTCAAATGTAGGTCATAGCTCACTATGACTTAGTTACAAATAACTTTTTTTTCTCTTACAGATGATATGTCGCAGTAATAGTTTTGTGTTGATAACAACGGAGTTATCGTCATTTATACAAAAACAAAAACTAATTTGAAAGCCGCCATCTTGAATTTATGAATTTCAACAAAAAAATCATGATCTCCGACCTCAAAAATCCCCTCTTACCAATTTTGAATGGAATCGGACCAAATCTTGTCCGCCATCTTATTGGAGCAGCAATTTTTTTTTATTTCAACAAAAATTCCATAACCCCGATTAACTTGAAATTTGGCAGGTGTTCATAATTTCGGTGACAATACATTATGTAATTTTTGTTGAAATTAATAAAAATGCCTGCTCCAAGATGGCGGACAAGATTTGTTCCGATTCCATTCAAAATTGGTAAGTGGGGGTTTTTGAGGTCGGAGATCATGATTTTCTTGTTGAAATTTATGAATTCAAGATGGCGGCTTTCAAATAATTTTTTGTTTTTGTTTAAATGACGATAACTCCGTTGTTATCAACACAAAACTATTACTGCGACATATCTGTAAGTGAAAAAAAAGTTATTCGTAACTAAGTCATAGTGAGCTATGACCTACATTTGAAAAACTGAAGTTTGGTGCTGATATCTCAAATTCTAGAAGAGTTGGTATAAATCTCATATTTTTTTCGAAATCACTTTCAAAAACTGCCATGAGAATGTGAAATTCCTATTTGAATATTTTCATTAATAAAGAAGTTACGAAGGAGACATGAAAATGACCAAAATCTGTTTTTTGCGTATAAAACAAAAACGAATAGATTTTATCAAAATATTTTTTCACATCATAGTTGGCCTTGACAAACTCCACATTTGGTGTCATTAAACCGACCTCGTAACTCTCACCGTTAAAAAGATACCCATGGTGAGCATGGTAAGTGGGACACACTGTATAGAGGTCCTTATTGGTTACGGTAGATCGCGTGCTATGTTCGCTGTTTCCCTCATCTTTTTATTCATTTCATTTTCATTAATTTTAATGAGGAGTATTTTTATAATATAAAAAATCAAAAAAGTTGAAAACTTGTCCATGATCATGTAATATTTTTTTCCTTTCACTGACTAACTAAAATTCATTCTCTCATTGACTACAATCAACATCTTAAATACATGTTTATATTATCTGGAAATAACTATAAAAAACATGGAATGCCTAAGTATGTTTCATCATATAATCACATTTCCAAAATTTCTGAATTCTCAATTCACGAGGGCTATCACCTGTCAAACGTTGTCGGTCGAATTTCGCAACACCCTGTTTACCTTCCGAGCCTATTATGCCATATGCCAGAATAGATAGAAAAAGACTATAATAGAAACTGATAATCAAATTTCGACTGACAATGTTTCCCAGTAACCTGAATTCATAAAGTGTTTGACTTAGTTCTTTTATATCAATTCATTTGTTTGTTTATGCCATTTGAGCTTGCATTCTAAGTGAATTCCCAAACACTTTATTAGGTCAATTTTTGTAATGTATTTGGTAAAATTACATTGCTTTTTATTTTTCAACCATGGAATAGTATGTATCTTCAATTTATAAATAATGAATCATGAATTACAGATGAATTTATTTGTGATATAGGTTATCAGCTAGAAAAGACAATTTCGGAAACGTGACCCAATTCTTCTACAACAACCAGCTGAATCATCGAGAAGTCAGTCAGATCTACTCTCCTAGGGACGGGAAACTGATGTCTTTGGTGTACGACAACAGAGGGCACTTGATTTATGCGCAAGTCTACAGGCACAAGTATTACGTAGCGACCGACCAATGTGGCACCCCGATAATGATCTTCAATCAATATGGAGAGGGTATCAGAGAAATCATGAGGTCTCCTTATGGGCATATCGTGTATGATTCCAATCCTTATCTCTACTTGCCAATTGACTTCTGCGGAGGAATATTAGATCAGGTAATATGTCATGTTAAGGTCATTGAACGATAGATGTTAACATACAGGTTGTCTTTTCAGGTGACTTCTCTAGTCCACATGCCCAATGGTAAAGTGTATGATCCTCTTATTGGGCAGTGGATGTCCCCATTGTGGGAGAACGTTTTAGAAAGGGTGTCAACTCCCACTCATATTCATCTGTACAGGTTCAACGGAAACGACCCTATCAATGTCAGACTTGACAGAAGCAGGCCTAATGGTGAGTGTATCAAATAACTAGAAGAATAAGTTTCAGCTGTTGTATCACAAACACACATCATTTATATTTTCCCAGATTTTTTTGTGATTTTCTCTCGTTTTTATAAAATGAGAAAAAAATAGTATCATTTCATTACGTGTAGTCACGTGTAGTGAAGACAAATCAGATGATTTGCCTAAAAATGACATAGCAATCAAAAATTGTCCTATCAAAGAGCCTAAAAGAAAAATTCAATCATTTTCAATGACACCTTGTTTTGAAAAATGATTGAAGAAAAATATAGATATATCGAAAAAATATCAAGTTCTTTCTCATCTTCTGACTCCACTCTGCTATTCATTTTTAATTTTCAGTACGGATACGTCCATTTGTCAACAGTGAAATTTGAAGACAATTTTGAAAACATATCCATTATTTATCTTGAGAACGAGAGCATATTTGTTTCCGAAACGTTTTCTCCAAACATTTTTCAAAATAAGGTGTCACTGACAATTGAATTTTTCTTCAAGTCTCGTCTGATCAGGGCCTACTCTATCTCACCGGGCCGTAGTCTATCCCCTCTACCTCGATGCTGATGTCACACTAGTAGGTTGAGATTTCACATCATTTTATATCGGTGCGTTCGTAATTGAAAGATTATAGCTCATTCACTTTGAAAATTGAAAGCACACTCAATCGAGACGAATTGATCCCTGATGAACTACCCAACTTTCGGTAAAAAAATAAATGCATTAGGATGAACCAGTACCGATTTATGATGTAAAGAAATTCAATTTTGATGAAAATCAGGACGTTGTACTACGGAACAATACTTTTTGCCAATTTGAAATCGTTTTGAAATGAAACTGACTGAGTATGTTAAACTAGGATAATGCATCAATTGAATAGTGAGAAAATTATTGAGCTACCTATAGTAAGTCCGAAATCAATTAGAAATAAAGAGCGCGTAGAAATTTGTCTAGTATTATGCCTACCCAATTTTCCCGTAGTAACGCTTTCGCGGTAATTCCCTATAGGTAAAGGGCAATACACGTTTTATTACTCATGTTCCAGTTGTGGGTCTTTTGATATTTTGAAAACTATATTGAATATTGTGTTGAATAATCAGGTATTACATATAAAATATAGCGGGATTCAGTCAAATAATGAGAAAAGAAGAATCATCAGACTTTCCGGATGTATATGAAGCTTTGAGTCAATCTTTTAGTTTGTGATATACAGGGTGGGCCACCAGTAACGCCTCGGTCTCTAGAAGGCTAACCACTTATTTTTTTGGAATTCTTCCTCTCTAGGAAGTTGCATGTCAACATAGGCTACCATTTGAAATTATTTTGAAACATACAGGATGTCCCCAAAAATCACAAAACACTGAAGTTGAACTTTTTTCAATCGAACACCCTATATATTATTTCATTTCGAGATTCTCCCTGGTGAGCTGATTTCAACAATCCATCATACTTGGGGTCTAGCAGTTATAATTACTGAGATATAGGGTGTGAGAAATCGAGATTTTCCAAGTTCAAGAATTTTTTGTGCCTAGACCATTCATAATTGGTCAAAACGGCTCACATGTCCCTATCTCAACTTTTGATCAACTATCTACTGACATTTAATTGAAACAAATACAGGGTGGTGCAGAATTCAGAATATTGATCACTAGGTATATGTCCCAATTATATATCAGTAGATAGTTAATCAAAAGTTGAGATAGGGACATGTAAGCCGTTTTGACCAATTATGAATAGTTTCGACACAAAACATTCTTGAACTTGGAAAATCTCGATTTTTCACACCCTATATTTCAGTATTTATAACTGCTAGACCCCAAGTATGATGGGTCGATGAAATCATCTCATCAGGGAGAATCTCAAAATGAAATAATATATAGGGTGTTCGATAGAAAAAAGTTTAACTTCAGTGTTTTATGGTTTTTGGGGACACCCTGTATGTTTCGAAATAATTTTAAATGGTAGCCTATGTTGACATGCAACTTCCTAGAGAGGAAGAATTCCAAGAAGTGGTTAGCCTTCTAGAGACCGAGGCGTTACTGGTGGCCCACCCTGTATATTTTTCATTATCTTCAGAATGGCTCTCGTTTAGTATTGTGTGTATGAGAACTACATATTTTTTATTCTTATTAATTTTCATATTTTGAAAATGTTTTCAAATCAATTTATCTTCATTAATATGGGATTATTGCTAAAGTATATACACTATAACTGAGAATTATTAATTCGCTGTCAGAGTTTTTGCGAAATAACTTCTACTCGGATAGGTATATAATTTCTAACGTCATCAAAGTGTGTCCAGAATTATCTTAAGACATAAACGCTGCTAAAATCCTCTGAGATACAGTTAAGTGTATCATATCGATTCGTAGGCAATGAAATATACTACAAAAAAGTCAGTGACAGCATATATCCACAACGAATAGATTTAGCATGGGGGCCGTCTAAACTTTTTGAACTAGTCTGTAATAATTATCTGAATCACCATTATACTTGAATTGAAATATCGGTTTGTTATTGGCTCTTCAGTGAATATTGATTCAGCTTTTGAAAAAGTCTAGTCTGTACGTAATTGATCTCTTGACATTTTTTGATAACTGTTACCGTTTTCCTTTGGTACATCAATGAATTGGAAAACGCAATTTCCTACGTCTCGATTTTGTCCCTACTAGTGAGACGTCACGAGAGCGATGCTCCGGCCCGGTGAGATGGAGTAGGCCCTGGTCTGATTCGCCCTCACTTCACGTATCTTTTCTGAAATAATACTCAATATTTCCATTACATCAAAACTAGGAGAGAGAGAACATCCTTAAAAATCTGCCAGACGGAACGACTCCTCGATTAACCTACTGACAGTATTCATCACGTTATCCTTTACAATTTTGCAGACCACTTGGACTGGCTGGACAAACTGGGCATCTCCCTGCGCAGCCTCGCCCCTCAACTCTACCCCGCCGACCTACCGGGCGGCCCCATGCCGCCCCAGCTTTCTCGCCCGCCTCCCTTCTGGAACCCCTCCTCCGGCCACGCCCTCGCTAGCCAACTCACGCTCCGCCCCGACCAACAATCGCCCCGCCTCCCCACCAATCAAGGCGACACGCCACGCCCATCCGCAGTAGACGTGCGTTCCGGTTTCCTCGCGCACCTAGACTCGCGCAAGATGCACACGGCTCGCGAGCTGTCAGTGCTTTCCAGGTCGGCGTTGAAGACGGACGCTATCGATTTGGCGCCGAGGAAGATAGGGGCGGGGTCGGACCCGCCTTTCGGGCGGGGCGTGCTGGTGTCGCGCACACGCGCTGGGCAGGCGGTGGTGTCGAGCGTACCGGCTGCCAACGCCATCTACCGGGACGTGTACACGTCGGTGTTCAACAGGTCGCAGATGTTGCCGTTCACGTTCGTGGTGCACGGGGCGCAGCAGGACGCGTTCCATTTTGTTAAGGAGGACGTTTGGAAGGCCACTGACGACAAAGGTGGGTATTGGTGGTGGAGTTTCTCGTACACTTTCTGGGAAATGACGGGGGAATGAAGGAAGTTTGTGGAATTTCGGGAAACTACAGTGCATTTTTCTTGGTATCCGGGAGTATTGGGAAATTTCGAAGAAGATTGAGTCGTTTCGGGCAATGTCATGGGAAAATTTCTCGTACATTCCGTGAATGACAAGAAAATTGTAATTTCAGATAGTTTCAAGACAATTTCGGGAATCCTCTGACATTTTCAAGGAAATTTCCACAGAAGAAGTTTACTTACATTTTGTGGGAATGAATAACTGAGGAATTAACTGTGGATTTTGAGGAATTTCACTCATTTCAGAACAACAGGGAACAGGGATTTGCTATCATGTAGGATTTCGGTAAATGTTGAGGTCTTGGGAGGAATTTTTGGAAATTTAAAGGATTTTCGGAAAATTTTCGAAAAAAATTCGAATATATTCCGGAGAACCGGAGGAACTTAAGTTATTCCGAGGAATTTTGAGCAATTTCGGAAAATATTGAGAAATTTTGGGAATTTTTCATTAAGGAATTTCTTGTTTATCTCGGGGGAAATCATAAAGTATTATTAATTTTCTAATAGGAATGACACGAATGATCAGACAGTAATTCCTGGTAAAGATCATTCATGAAGTATTATCGACTGTTGAATAATAATTGAAATTACAAATAGTGAATAAAACTTACATATCATTAAGATGTCTCAAAATAACAGTCATATTAAAGTGAACATGACGAAAAAAAAAACTAAAAAAAAAAAAAAGGAAATGAATCATTTCTTCGCATATAAATATATTTCTTCACTTTATTTCTGAATTGTATGATATTAGGGCTGTTTTTGATATCATCTGGTAGTTTATTGAATTTCGAAATCGCCTCATGTGTAAACTTGTTTTATCTTAAGTTTAGAATTTGCAGCTAGTGTGATGATTATGAATTTGGGAATTCCTAATTAATATAAAATTTGATTTGAGCTTTTTGTTGATGATATAATAGGAAATTTTGAGAGTATTGATTAAAAAGTGCTCTACCAAAGAAAATGTGTTTGTTTGTGTATGTGTTTATACAGTCGATTTTGAGGAATATCAGGAATTTTCTGGGAATTTCACTATTATTTCAGAAAATTTTCTAGGAAACGAAGAAATTTGGTACTAGGTAGGATTTCGTGAAATGTTTAGTGATTGCGAAGGATGTTTGGAAATTTATAGAAATTTCGGAGAATTTTCAAGAAATTTCAAATCTATGTCGGGGAATCGGAGGAATTTTAAGCTATTTCGAGGAATTTCGAGAAATTTCGGGGAATATTGATTGATTTTGGGAATTTTTCATGATGGAATTTCTCGTTCATCTTTGGGGAAATAAATAAATCGCGATGGATATCCTTCCAAAATCTATTTAACAATTTTTATCAATGAAGTGTTTGTCCCCAAATAATGCCAGAATGCGCTTGAATTAAGGAACACCGCCTTGTTTCTTGCAAACCAATATTGGAAAATAAATTGACTATGAGGCATATCGCGAAGTGTTTGTATATTTTGAGAAATTTCGAGAAACTAGGGAATTTCTTTTGAAATAAACGCAGGTAACAGGGACAATAGAAATCAAACACATGAATAGTGTCGTTGATCTATATTCGATTATACAGGCTGATTCACGGTGGATGGCACATTAGACGTTTCTGGTGAACCAGACAACGGATCATTTTGAAAATTCAATGGAGAGCATATTCAGACATTCTCTAGCCAACTGAAATATTTTCGACAATGCGGTGTTGCCGCTTCTATAAGAAAGCAGTAGCAACTTCGATTTTTCAAATGGAACACTCTGTATCTTATTGCATTTTTAGATTCCCCTGAAGAGCTGATTTCATCGATGAATCACACTCAGGGTCTAGCGAAAATGATTACAGAGATATAGGGTGTGAAAAATCGACATTTTTCAACTTTAGGATTTTTTTGTGTCGAAACTATTCATCATTTGTCAAAACGGCTCACATGTCCCTATCTCAACTTTTGATCAACTATCTACTGATATTTAATTGGGACATATACCGGGTGATCAAGATTCTGAATTCTGCACCACCCTGTATTTGTTTCAATTAAATATCAGTAGATACTTGATCAAAAGTTGAGATAGGGACATGTGAGCCGTTTTGACCAATAATGAATAGTTTCGACAAAAAACATTCCTAAAGTTGAAAAATGTCGATTTTTCACACCCTATATCTCTGTAATCATTTCCGCTAGACCCCAAGTGTGATACATCGATGAAATCTGCTCTTCAGGAAAAATCTAAAGATGCAATAAAATACAGAGTGTTCCATTTGAAAAATCAAAGTTGCTACTGCTTTCTAATAGAAGCGGCAACACCGCATTGTCGAAAATATTTTAGTTGGCTAGAGAATGTCCAAATATTCCCTCCATTGAATTTTCAAAATGATCCGTTGTCTGGTTCACCAGAAACGTCTAATATGCCATCCACCGTGAATCAGCCTGTATTCAAAAGACTGACACTCAATTATCTCCAGCAGACTTCCTAGTTTTGTTTAGATAAAACACGTTGCATATACTCGAGACTGTATTTATGAAAATACCCTCATTCAGCTAGACATTTACGGCGCCCTGAATCCTATTGGTTTGATGTTTATAGTTCAGTGACTCGAGTTTCGATTTTTGCCTAACTGATATTATTGATAGAGTAATTTCTATATCATGTAGAAAATGAATAAATTGCGACTAATATCTTTTCGAAATCTAGTATACGATTTTCATCAACGAATTCTAGTGTTTATCTCCTAGATGATATCAAAATGTGCTTGAATTGAACCAATAAGCACCGCCTAACCACCCGCAAACCGCGAATTCGATTCTTTGGAGCACTTCCCAAACCGGACGCCAAACCTCAACGGATTAAAGTCGAACTGAATTCAAAATCGCGTTCTCTTCCTCTTCCCAACAGGCCAGCTGAAACGCCTCCAAGGCCAAGTCAACACCACCTTCCACGAGATCGCCAAAGAGAACGGCAGTGGCAACAACTACTGCGACGTCAAAATCCACGGCTCCGATGTGGTCATCAATCTGCGCTACGATATTCAAATTTAACAAAATACTAGTGTTTCCTAGATGATATCAAAATGTGCTTGAATTGAGCCAATAAGCACCGCCTAACCACCCGCAAACCGCGAATTCGATTCTTTCGAGCATTTCCCAAACCGGACGCCAAACCTCAATGGATAAAAGTCGAACTGAATTCATCATTTATTTATTTATTTATTTTATTTCATTTATTTATTGAACAAATAACTTCCAGACAGAATAGGCTCTGGTATAAGGAAGTACATAATTATATACCTATAGGTAAACATAGCATCATTCAAAATATATCAACAACTGTAAATTGGCAAACAAAGAATAATATTTGTAAAAAAAATGGCATGATTAATTTTATCAAGTCCGCTGAGAAATAATCAGTTTTTTTACTTCATTTTTGAATATACCTATATTTCTGCAATTTTTTATATTATCAGGTAGTTTATTGAATTCAGTTAAGGCTGAATGAGTGAATCTTTTTTGTCCGATTAGGGAGCTAGCGGCGTCAAGATGGAACAAGTTATATTGTCTAGTTTCATGATTATGAATTTCAGAATGCCGTATCAAAATGATATTCGACTTCAATTTTTCATTTATGATATTATATGATATTTTGAGTTTCAATTCTATATATTTCATCTAAAGAATACGTATTTGTTATTTCATACAATTGATTGGTTGGTGTATCGAATGGGAGACGATACAATACTTTTAACGATTTTCTATATAATGTTGATATTTTATTGAAATTATTTTTTGAACAAGATCCCCAAACATGTATTAAATAGTTGATACGACTCAGTATATGAGAGTAGAGAATCATGTTTGCAATTTTAATATCAAGTTTGGGACATCTTCTCAATGCACCAATAATTGGAGATATTTTTTTTGTCAGAACATCAATATGTTTGTCCCACTTCAACCTGTCATCAAACCAAATACCAAGATATTTTATCTGGTCAGTTTGTTTCAAGAGTTCATTTTTTATTTTAAGGTTGAGGTGAATTTTTTGTTTATTTTTTTGGTGAAAAATCGTATATTCTGTTTTGTTAGTATTTATCTATAAAAGGTTAGATTGGAGCCATTTTTCAAATATTTTCAAGTCTTCATTTATCATATTTTATAAATCTGAAGGATTCTTGCCTTCATATAAAAGTACTGTATCATCTGCATACATGGTATATTCACACGCTAGACCAATTTCACTGATATTCTGAACATAAAGTAAATATAGTATAGGTCCTAAAACAGAGCCTTGTGGGACACCCTTATTGATTAATAGTTTATTTGACACAGAGTTGTTTGATTTTGTATTGATTGTCCTATTTTCAAGATATGAATTCAAAATATTTCTCACAGTGCCTCTGAGTCCCATTGTTTCTAAGTTTTCTAAAAGTGTTTTATGATCAACTGTGTCAAAAGCCTTTTTGAGATCAATGAAAACAGCTACCACATAATTTCCTGAATCAAGTCCTCTCTGGATTGAATCTATCACTTGTAGTACTGCTGCTTGTGTTCCACTGTTTTCTTGAAAACCAAATTGATTAGAATCAAAGCTATATTTTTTGTTGATGAATTCTACAATTCGTTTCTTGAGAATTTTTCCAAAAATTTTAGAAAATATGCTCATTAAAGCTATTGGTCTATAGTTAGTTGGATCCTGAGCATTTCCATTTTTGTAAATAGCTCTTACTGATGCATGTTTTAATTCGTGTGGGAAACTTTCTTTCATGAAAGATTCATTGATCAATTTTGATATTGGTGTAGCTAAAATGTGTCTCAATTCAAATATGTCTTTAGTAATCAAACCTTCTGGATCAGGGCATGTCTTTTTTAAATCATGAATAATAGAAATGATTTCGCTTTCATCAGTTCTCTTCCTCTTCCCAACAGGCCAGCTGAAACGCCTCCAAGGCCAAGTCAACACCACCTTTCACGAGATCGCCAAAGAGAACGGCAGCGGCAACAACTACTACGACGTCAAAATCCACGGATCCGATGTGGTGATCAATCTGCGCTACGGCACCACCGTAGAAAAGGAGAAACAAAGGCTGTTGCACCACGCCAAGTTGTCGGTAGTGCGGAAAGCATGGCACAAGGAGAAGGAGTGCCACAAGAACGGCTTCACGGGCAGCGGGGATTGGAGCCCCAGCGAGCTGGAGGAGCTGTCGAAGCTCGGCTACGTCAATAACTACGAGGGCGAGTACATCCACGATGTGCAGGTAAGGATGGGGAAATTTCACTAGGGTACAAAATGCATGTATTCGATTCTGTTTCGATCTGCGACGTAGAGAAAGTACTAGTGGAATTGATAACAATATTGGGTGGATGAGGATGAATGAAAGGAGGCAATTGCATATTTCATCTTTCATATTCAATGTTTATGAAGCAAAGTCACTTGGATATCTATACAAAAAGCTCACATTTGAGAACGAAATACATGATAGAGATACTCGCTATCAAATGCAATTGAATATACCTCATCATACCACAAACTTTATCCAAATGTGGCTTTTCATATATTGCTCCGAATATAATGAATCAAAACTCAGGAAGTGAAATCACTAGTTTGCAAGGTTTCAAAAGAAATGTTAAATCTGAAATGTGATATAACTTTAGGCCATTACTGATTGTTTATACACATATGCACTATTGAAGTACCTATTGGTGTAAATACCATTCCTGTTCTTTTCCCACTTTTTTTTTACCATTTATAGTTTATTTCCTTTTTTACAGTTATTTTTCTTTGTTACAACTTATGAGGTAAAGTTGAGAATGGGCTTATATCACGAAAAAAATTTATTTCATAATTCGATAGAACTCACCCAAACTAGCTCACCACCGCAAACCGTTTCTTGCTGTGAGCTCCCTACGTTTTGTAAAAAAAATATGAAAACACCGATTTTTCGGACCTCTGAAAACGAGGCGATGATGTGACGTCAAAACCCTAATACTAAAACAAGACTATTTCAGACAGAGATGAATGATACATGATTTCTGACATAGTGAATTAGCGCGAGAACACAGTTGAATCAATATATCAGTTGCTTCAGTCTCCGTCGGGCGTTTGGTATTTTATTTTAACTATGGCGAGATGAGGTTTCTACGTCATGAGGGTCCGTTTTCAGAGGGTACTATTATTCATGTCCAAAAATAAAACATTCCAGCTAATTTTTCGATCGAATTATGTCGTCAATCATTATTCATGTATAAACGGATCATTATAAACATGGTTTGAGTTAAAAGTTCTACTAAGGTGTACACGCCCATTATCCTTTCGGATAAACTTTTACCTTTTGTACATTTGTGATAATAACTGCTGGCTGTGTCATCCATCATTATTCTTGTAATCGAATATGAACCTTGTTGAGATGTAGAATGTAAAATAAAAGTAAATTAATTTTATTATTTATTAATTATTATTGAATTAAATTTCACTTGGAATTTTCATGAAATAAGTGCCCTTTATTTGAAGTGAGACCATAGAAATCATATTATACAAGGTGTCCCAAAATTACATAGGAAGATGTCAACCTCAGGTACCAGGAACAATAAAAATAGTAAAAAAAAGTGCATATAAACATGAGCCCAGAAGTAGCCCCTTGGTCAGTTATAGCTATCTGAAAGACGGCCCGAGATGGTTTTTTGTAAATATTTCCCGAACCCTCTGTGTTGGGGTAACGAAATTTTGTGAGTGAATATAACTTTTCATGCCCAATTCGAACATTTTGAGAAATTTCCTGGTCGAACTGCCGAACATTGCAAAGAAAAAAGTTGGGGGAAGATATGTCCCTAGTCCCCCCACCTATTTTCCACACCCCTGATCCAAATCGGACATGAGAAGTAATATACAAGTACAAAATTTCTCAACACAGAGGGTTTCGGAAATATTCACATGAAACCATCATGTCGGGCTCCCCTTTTAATAGCGATTTCAAATAATTAAAAACAGCCCAATAATTTTTTCAAGGGCTATCTTAAAATAACTAGATGAGTTATCGAAAAACCGATAGTTAACTGTAGAACAATAGAATTTTGAGCGTTTTCATACTTTACTACACCCCAAACATAAATTCTCGACTCTTTTAGTTTATGCTCGTTTGAGCTCGTTCGTGGTCGGGGAACGATCTCCGAAAATATTTTCACTTGTAATACCACTGGAGGTGAAATTATTTCGAGCTCATAGATATTTTGGAAATTATTCCGAGTCGAAGACTTCAAGATACTACAAGTGATAAGAAATTATAATTTTGTCGATTAATTTTTCATAGGTATAGGTACATACTAGTAGTAGTAGAGATAGGGGAGGCGGTCGCCTAGCAAGTAAGCCCCATTGAGCCTTTTTTGGCGACCCCTGCTGCACACGCCATGTGCACATAGAATCTACTATTCCTTCTCCTAATTTTCCTTTTCCTTCGTGGATTTCTGATGAAGGTCAGTATGTCTGTCCACCTTAGTAATTTGATCTTCCTGTTGAAGCGTATCAGTACCAGAGATTACGAATTTAAGCCTTCCATAACGCCTTACACTGGCCCAGGTAGTGGTATGACATTCTATACAGGATGAGTCAATAGTGTGTTCTCCTTCGATATTAGCCAAACCGTCAGGTATATAAAAAAACAACACATAGAATTTTATGAGAGCTATCACCAAAAATTATTTTCATATCTCTAGGATGTTCGAATTCCAAGATATCGGCTGATGACGGGTGATTTTAAATGGGACACCCTGTATATTATTGCATTTTTGAATTTTTCCTGAAGTGCTGATTTTATCTATTCATCACACTTGGGGTCTAGCGGAAATGATTACAGAGATATAGGGTGTTCAGAATTGAAACTTTTCAAATTTGGGATTTGTGTCAGAACTATTCATTATTGGTCGAAACGGCTTACATGGCCCTATCTGAACGTTTGATTTACTATCTACTGAAATTTATTTGGAATGGATACAGGGTGATCAGATATCTTGAATTTTGAACCACCCTGTATTTGTTCCAATTAAGTGTCAGTAGATGGTGAAT